TTGAAAGTAAAGGAAATAAATATCAGCAGACTTTTCAGAGATTCAAGATGCTTAGCTCATTTATGATTTACACTCCGTAACTTGATTTAAAATAGATTTTCCGCAACAAACTAAAGACAGTGTGCTTAACAAATACCTGGCAGAAGGGAAGTAGTGCACGGAGTACCCCCAACATCAGCTAATGGACAAGCAGAGCACTGAGCAGCCCCGTTATTATAGACCCCTGCTGAACAAGGCACACATATCCCTCCCTCATCCCTGTAGTAGTTAACAGGGCACTCCATATACACTGCTATCTCCCTTATCTGAATACACCCCTCCTCTTCCTTGGTAGTCTTCATCACTGTTAGTTGAATCATGTCACCACAGTGCAGGGAACAGTCAATATAGTGATAAGCTCCCACCAGTGTCTTGTAACTTCCACTCAGTCTGATAGTCCCACATAAGTGCTCCTCTTTGGTCAGCGTGTTTATCAGTACAACTTTAGTGTGATCCATTCTGGCTTCATGAAAAAAGCCCAGAAATTCCTGGGCTATGCTGACTTGTTTAACACAGCGCGCGCCTGTAAATCTCATCCTGAACCAATGCTCGACATTGCGTCCACATATAGTGCGTGAGGAGGTTTTCATATCTCCATCCACCGCTTTTGCTGATCTGTACTGCCATTTTTTTATCGTAGTGGAACTCTGTTCAACTGAGGCTATCGCTATCTTGTGGAACACTGTAATAAATTTAAGTTTTAACATTATTAGACGATGATTTTACAATACCTATATTATATTTGCGTTGCGATCCGGTATTATTTCTCAGTTATTTCCAAGTCATGTCAGTGACAGGTCACAACTGTTTATTATAAACCGTTATCTTACTATATACAAAACGATACGATATAATATATATATTATATACATATAGGTAGGTATAAATATCTGTTGCCATTTCACTGACACCACGACATCAACTTTAACACGACTTTCCACAGAAACCGTGAGAGATATAATATACTTTTTTGGCTGGGTTTAATGCTTTCATGGCCTTTTGACCAGTATGAAGAAATACAAAATCGACCAAGGAATAAATGATTTAGGTCTCGAAAATTGGACCCCAGGTGGTTTCAAAATCACAAAATAAACAAATGTCGTTGTCTCTTCTCACCACTTTAGAGTTCCTGCTAGTATAAGTAATGTACTATGGCCAGTAAACAAATTTCAGTTAGGGCAACTATACCAAAATAAAGTTGTACAGTTATATTAACAAAGTTGTGAGAACCAATATGTTTTTGAGGTAATTTACTTAACACTGACCTTGACAACATGCTCCCTCAGTTCCAGTATTCCATATTACCTCATCTCTTTCCTCTCCCTCCCATCTCCACAGCTCAACATTCTTTGTGTTCTCCACTACAAGCTCTAGTGTATTATTTACATTGGAGAGGTCTGCTGTATTGCTGCTCCATAATGATCTACTGCTGCTCGAGTAGAGAACCAAGTTTCCGTCACTCTGAAATACCGACCATTTGAATTGAAATTTCAAGTGAACTGTGGAGAGGATTTGGTTTTATGATATCAATTGAGCCCCAGGATACATAATATAGACTATAGACTATACAGTAGTTAGGGGGGGGGGGGGGGGGGGGGTGGGGGGTTACCTATTAGTTACTCATTAAACCAACCTGGAATCCAAGACCTCTTGGGTCAACATCCTGTGCTGCTGTGTAGGTTTGCCATATAATTCTCTCAGTGTCAGTGCAGATAAGAGCCAAGTTGCCATCAACCCGCATTTCCAGTCTAGCTTGACCATTGCTGGAGGTTATTGACGTTCCTTGTCTTATCCAGGAGCCCGTTTCCTCCGGTCTTATGCATTTGTTTTCCGAGCAACCTGGTTTGTGGTTAATAATGATGATAAAAGTGAGGACTGAGTGATTGAAATGGGATTGCTAAATCATGGTTACAGCTTACCTTGTGATAGACCCTCCAAGATATTGACCAAGAAGAGAAGGAGCAAGTATGATCTTCTTGACATAATGGCTTCCAGTGCAATGGCAGAGATTTAACTCATAAAAATTGATAACTGATTGACTAAAATAAGAGAAGTTCGTGATTAAAAATATAGGAAAGTTTCAGTTACGAAAAAGATTTCCTGGTACACCGACCAAATAAATAAAACATACATCAACTATAAGAGCAGTCGGTAAGGAAACTACACAATAATATTATCGACATCAAATAGGGAGTTAGCTCAGCCGAGGGCGGCTCAATATAGTACAGGGAGTACAGAACATTAGTTTTAATGTTATTGTTTACTCCACCAGAGAAGCAGATCATAGTAGGATAGTGAGTGCGTATGTGGTTCGTGACTTAGTGACTAACGTGTTTACTGTTTAGGGGTTACTGATGGTGTGGCTCATTACATCGCTCTAGGATTGTGGGGACTAACTGCGGTTTGCTTTCCTAAAACATGGAGTCGAGCAAAGAACCGACTAAGTAAATAGGTCTAGTCTAGAGAATAATGATCTTTGTATGCTGTATACTGAGAGAAGCAACCATCATATTCCCAAATCTAGAACACAAGAAAGTTTTTTGTATTTGGAAGCAAAATGCTGGAATTTAACTCTAGTGAACATTGAAGCGATGTAGAATGAACTGTCAGATGCTCGCAATGTATAAAAGTATAAAATCTCATGTTTATGTTGGACGTTATAGTTAATGGTGTCTCATCAGTCATCATATTAGGATGCAGTGAAACTATCGGACTACGATGTATGGGGACTTGCCACCCCACGGCAATATCAAAAACACTCTGTTACATCGTTTCCTGTTAATATAAAACTCCGTTACTAATTGAACTCAGTGAAACAATAACTAAACTCATGTAAATGTCTAATAAAATATAAAATACAATATAGTGTACTACTAGAAAGCTTAATAATTAACTATGAATGAGTAATTATGGTAAATAAAACTATTCCAACACAACCAAAGAAACAGCTCTCGGAAAAGGTAACACGGCATATGAAATAATCAAAACAGAATCGAACAAATGTCGACACTAAATCTATAACCGAGCACGTGTGCGTTACCACTCGTGCACATCTAAGTTTGACCCATATCTATAATCTCTGAAATTTCTGAGCAATTCTAAGAAGAATTACGTGAGATATTAAAGGTTTGCGTGTGGGCAGTTACTTCTGGGCCACCCTGTATAAAGTTTTCAATGTATTCGCATTACAATTAAAATATGCAGCAAAACCGACAAAAAAGGCTATAAAGCTATAAATTCTGACTATAGCACTAGCAAAGAAGACTATTTATAGCTAGTCTTTGCAAAACTGATTAGGCAATCATTGTTTAAGGAGGAAAATTATGAATAACAAGTGATAAAGCTCTGTTCTTTTGTTAGCAAATTGCCGACGGTTTAAAAAAAAATACCTCAAGAATAAATTACTATAAGATAGGCAAATTAGTTTTCTTTCTTCCTTTCAAAATGTCACTAGAATAACCTGTTATACCAATTATAGGCTTAAAGGGTCTGTCAGTTAACAATGCTTTATCAATTATCATTCATGATGCTCCCCTGAAACAATAATTGGCTAATCAGTTTAACAAATTGCATACAGTCTACTACAGTCTACTTTTAACTTCTTGAAGACGCCTTTACCAGTGGTTAGGGGTACTGATGATTCGGTAATTTTAACGACATAACGGACACTTTAAGTTTATGCACAGTGCAGAATTCCAAATACCTTACAAGACATATTTATGGCGGCCTAATTTGCGACGACCAAAATTTTGGCGGTCCGAAAATATGGCGAAATTGAACAAAAACCGTCAAATTTCGGACGTCACAGAAAATAAGGGTATTTTTTATCATTTTTTGTGACAGTAAGCAGTAAGGAAATTTCTGAAATTCGGTAAAATCATGTTCAAACTTAGTCTGTATTAAGACTGTAAGACTTTCATGTTAGCACATACATGTATTTTAATGCAAATTTAAACTGTATTGCTTGACATTCAATTCGTCATTGGTGTGGTGAAAATTTGTCTCAAGATGCCAGAATTTATTTATTTATTTTACTTGATATTACTTTTTAGAAACAAAATAAAGCAGTGAAGGCACAGTCATTGAAATAAGCTAAAAGATAATGCGACGGATTCTATTACGACGACCGAAATTTTGGCGGTCCGAAAATATGGCGAAATTTTCGGAAAACCGCCACATTTCGTACGTTATAAATATGTCTTGTAAGGTATGGAAAATATTTTCTATGACGTTATCTTTCGATGTTATCCAGGCGATCCTCACAGTTCAGTCGTGAACTCCGGATGGCTTCACCACTTTTTATTTGTTGAACTCAACAGGACCATACCTATTGTTTATTCGTCAAACAATAGATAATCATAGTTTCCTTTGTCCCGTATTTGTACCGGTCTCCCATCCCCTAGTTGTATTTCCCTTAATAGCAACCAATGATTACCCTGCAATTAGCGCTGAGTTGTTACCTGTTAGACCTGGAACGTAATCATTGGAACACGTACCATACCATCCTCTTCATCCACTCACAATCCTAATAATACGTCACATGATCATTGATCACAGTGTTAGTCCGAACACTCTCATTTCTCAATGTCATGTTATCAAATGTTCTTTGTTTTAATATCTTTCCTATCTATCTAGATGGATCTCCTATTCGACTGTGATAAATGATAATCCGACCAGTCCCTCTACCTCAGCTTCTCCGTTAGTGAAGTAGTAGTAGTATACGTTAGTCGTATATATAATAACCACATTCATATATATTATATATATGAATGTGGTTATTATTAGCAGTTTCCTTCTCGACGCAATGCAAGGCGATAATATTATTTGTAGAATTAAGGTTCGCTTTTCTGTAACCTAGTGATTCAAATAAGCTTTTGGTAAATTAAAAGTTTTCTTTCAGTCGATTTTTTATAGTGCCGAAACAGGATTTAACTGATTTAAGATAATTTTATTGTTTTAAGCAATGCAATGGATGGTGCTGCTGTTAGTTGTCCTCAGCGTAGTTGCAGCTAGAGATAAGCGGGACATTGAACACACACCTCTTCACAAGAGGAATGCTCAGAATGCTCTGTTAGATGTCAGAGATACACATGTTTCTTTCTCTCATTCGGAATTTGCTTATGATGACTCTGTAAAGTAAGATCTGACTTTGACGTATTTTTAAGAGATGTTTTTGAAAGATCTTTGTATCCTAAATGACTTAAATTTTTAAATTCTTATCAAATATCATTCTTTATAGGACAAAAAACGTTTTGATCTATCTAAAAATATAATTTATTGCATTAATTGCACTGTCATACCATTACAGAGTGTATGCAAACACTTCAAAGATCACGAATGAGGAGGCAGTCGAGATAACATGGGAGAACCCTGCAGCTAGTCTGTTCGACATGATAGCTATTTACACTCCACCTTCAAGAGGTGTCAAGGTAACAAATTATACGGAATCTTGTACCTACCTGAACCAAACCTTGATTGAACTGTTTTACAAAAAAACCCAAAATCAAACTAAACTATATGGATTTAGGTCGTTTTCTAAAAATGTTCAGTTTGATGATTTCATCACCTTTTTCAGGATTATTTAGACTTCAGATACGTGTCAGACACCAAAGGATGGCAGAAACACCAGGGAGTGTTTCACGAGATCTTGTTCAACATGCGAGCTGATTATGAGATTCGTTACCTTGCTATAGGTTACCTGTCATCTACCTTTTATTATGTGTATTTCACGTTTCTGGAGACTATAATTTGTAATTAACTGATTTGTGCGGTCCCTACATAACAAAGTGCCCAACTAATATAAATCTGAAAGTAGAAATTTTGTCCTTCGTTAACTTCTGATCTGTTGTTTGTTCAAAACTTGCTTTACCTTTTATCTAGGAACGAAGTTGTGATTGAATTTTGTTCATAAAACATTTTACTCGTTCAGATAAACACCAAAAAGCGACTGTAAAAGCAAGTTTTAAGATCTCAGTCCCCGACAACGAACCAATGCATGGTCACATAGCAGTCACATCCAGACCTGGTGAAATAAGGGTCATGTGGGGCAGCGCTAAATCTGATAAACCCAGAGTCAAGGTCCGATATATTAGTAATATTATCCGTAATAATATGCCAATTTGATTTAGATTCATTAAATATTTCCCAAAATTAAGGTTCTGTAGTTGAGACACTATCAATAGACTTGGATTGTGATGAAACATTGGCACATTTTTTGATAAATCAATTAAACAGACAAAACAAGCATGTAACCACCTAATCGATATTACCAATGTCTATAATTAGGAATATATTTACCAACCACCTCCTCCAATTTAGTTCCTAATTTCCAACCCTCTCCCAGTTCTCCCAGTCACCTGACTTACAGAACCCAATGACAGCACTGGCAACCACCACCACCTACACTGCTGATGATCTGTGTGGGGCACGTGCTAATGTTACAGATCCTGTCATGTATCAAGATCCTGGCTTCTTCCACACTGCTCTTCTAACCGTTACTGCCGCTATTTTGTTGTGATTTTTATGTTGCTGTAATTATCTTATCTCCTTTTTGCGATAATACTAAAGGCTTACTGATCCAAAATCTGTATATTATGACGCAGTGAAACTATCGGACTACAATGTATGGGGACTTGCCACCCCATGGCAACATCAAAATATATTACTTCCTTTTACTTACTAAAATGTTTAGTAAATACCTAATTTTGGGATTATCTGCTAGGACCTAAAGCCAGGCGTCACATACTATTACACATACGGAACTAACAAAGCTACAAGCAAGACTGCCTCCTTCGTTGGAGCACCCTATCCAGACGCCAAGGTATTTTGTTACTACATTACAATATAGTCTACTTACTATTCATCATTACATTAACAATTTAACATACTGTGAAATTGAATGGAAATAAGATAATATATAGTAGCATCTCGAACTGGCAAAGTTTTAAAGAATCTCCACCGCTCAGGTAGCAGTGACAAAGTTTATAGGATACGGAGATATGGGAGTCTACTACCCGCCCTACAATGGTGACAGCATGGGGGCAGCGGGTGTCACACGCAACCTCGAACAGGAAGCTGCTAAAGGTCTGGACTTCATCCTCCATTTCGGTGATCTCAGCTACGCGCGCGGGAGAGGCTACATCTGGGATCAGTTCATGACACAGATGACTAGTGTGTCGGAACAGGTTCCGTACATGGTGGGGGTCGGGAATCATGAGTACGATCACGTGAGCGGAGGAGAGAAGGATCCTAGTGGGGCGCCTGATAATGGGTTCCGTCCTCAGTGGGGGAATTATGGGAATGACGGAGGTGGCGAGTGTGGTGTACCCACCTCGCACAGGTAATTCCAGCACTGACTACTTCTTTTCATTTATTTGTTATTATTTTTCTTTATTTTAATTCGGTATTCTTAAAAGCGAGTAAAATCTCAGGACATATAATATATTATATACAAACCCATGCAACTGTGAATTATTATTTACAAACTACAATCTCATTACAACACAACTAATATTACGGGATCCGGATTATTTTCTTATAGGAGACTACATCTGAATGCTTTCTTATGTCTGCTCCTGTCATGTCATACGATATTCTTGCCATAACATATAATATAATCGAAAATATAACTGTTTTCCCCACTCCTAGTGCCATACTCATTACTCAACTTATTCCACACTCTACAATGTCCACGAAGACTGCTATCCTGAAATCTAGATTACACTCGCGTAAATCGTTTAGATGAAGAATTCCTGTGAAGATGTCGATCACTCAAACTACCATAATTCGTCTCCGACAGATCCAAATACTGACGAGAGACGACCTCTATTTTCTCTAGACACTCCACTAAAGAGTGCCCAACTGCTGATTGATAAAATTTTTCTTTCTCGTCGATGGGAACTTGTAAGATCGACTCAAGTTGTTTATTTAAGAGGGAAAACGTGAGAGCAGCAGCAAAAGTAGCATCTTCAAGTGAGGTATCAGCTGAATCCCTCTTCTCATTCTTCTTCTCATTCTTCTTATCAGCCTGATTCCCTCGCATTTTCAACCCGATCGCAATAGAAGTTAAACCCACCAAAACTGATACCACCGATTTTTGAAACGAAAATCCCATGTGATTTTGAAGAATAGACATAAAGACAGAAGCTGCACCACAACTGGTTACTCCTACAAGTAATGTCTGTCGAGCTAGAAGTGATTTATCTGATGTATCTTTTCTTTCTGGGTCTTTTTCAACGAGAACATCGCAAATACTGTTCAGGGCCTCCCCAACTCCCGCCCCTACTTCTCTCAGTTCAGGCAGGGTTTGCTGGATCAGGGTTTTCAAGAAGGCTTCAAATGTAATCCCTTCATCAGGATTTCCCCAGGATTCATCTGGATTTCCCCAGGATTTACTACGAATGATACTCTGCTGTGAAGAGTCGTTCAAGGCAGCTGATAGCTTAGTGAACCTGTACTGTGCTTCTTCTATCATCTTCTGAATCCTTATCACACTCTCCATTGTGGCCTTCTTTTCAGTTTCTTGACGATTGTTCATTACAATCAGCTTTTCCAAGGCTCCGTCAAGGTTGTGATTTATTGTGATCAACGAGACTGAATCCGCCAGAAGTTTGATGATTCTTTTCACCCAGTAAAACCATCTCAACCCAACCTGTACATACCCTTCACAGTCCGTGTCGTTCCCTAGCCAGTCTACTTTGAGTGTATCCGTACTTTCTTTATCCATTGTGAAGGATTACTGAATTTGAATTGGCTGTTTAATAATTTAAACTAATTTTACAGAAGTGATTTAATGTATGCTCGCTAGTACTACGCGTACGGTCCTTTCAGCTTATCTTTAGATTGAGCTGGCTTGCACAAAACAGAAGAATATGATATAAACAAATTTGCAAAAGTCAAGCTGCAAATTATACGGCGACAGTCTTGTTTTCGTTATAATTTATTCGTAGAGGAACCAAGAAAAGTAGAGGAAGTAAGAACCGTAAAGTAAGACTATTAACAGAACAACAAACGAATGTATCATAACAAAACGTGACACTAAGACAAACTTCATTGATATAGATCTAGTTAACTCAATCAGGTTTGTACATGGAATTTGGAAAAATGGCAAAGGGTAAGTTTGACTGATACTTCCACTGACCGTATTTTCATACATTAGCTATCAGACAAATTGAAAAATCCTGTAACACAGCCGAAATATCTTAGAAGATGCGATAACTCCAATAACTCAGCAATGATCGGAATTTCAAAATGCTGAAGGACTGGTAACTCGTATGAATACCTTGATGTTGAGCTATTTTTAACCATCTCGTCCCCTGGTTGTACGTGTAATATAGTAGGGGGGAGACAGTGTATTGTAGGTGATTTTACGTAGATAAAGATAGACGATGGAATGTAAGCCACACCCTACATTCCTCCCTCCCTCAGATACATAGCGCCTGATAACGGTAACGGAGTGTTCTGGTACAGTTTCAACTACGGACTAGTTCACGTGGTGATGTTCAGTAGTGAGCACGACTTCAGACCTGACAGTAGACAGGTTAGTATTCATTGTAATCTTGTAAATATTTTGTAGATAGTCTCTTAATATCTTGAGATTGTAAATACTTTGTAAATATCTCGTTATAGGAAGATCTTATAAACATTTTGTTACTGTCCAGGGAATATCTTGGGACCATCTTTCAAACATCAAGCTAAAATGTTGTGAACAGCTGTAGGTTGCTTGAATTAGGGTGGCATCAGATGACAAGCACACGTGTCACGTGTGTAATCTAATTAGGCTCATGGACACGATAAGTAAATAAATCGTGTAAAACAGACAGTTCCAGAATAAGTAATACTAAGTTAAATCGAATTTGGTATCAAGGTCAAAACTCGAAACCATGTGATTTTAAATTATATTATCTGTTTGCTAGAAGTCGGTGACACGGTCTGAAAGCATTCTCTGGAATGAAATTAAAAACTTCCTTTACAACCTCGTGATGGCAGATAGTAAGTAAGCAGTTGTGTTTGTGCTTTATCAAATAAAGAAGTAACCAATAAAACTTCCCAGTACCTGTGGCTGGAAAAGGACCTGAAGTCAGTTGACAGAAATAAGCACCCTTGGGTTGTAGTCACTTCTCATCGACCTCTTTATACTAGCCAGGTAATCTTCTTCTTAATTTGAGTACTAATCAGTACCCCATCAGTCGTTAGGTACCCCATTAAGTTGGAAGTCAATCAATGCCTCAGCTTAATAGAGCAAAATGATTTATTTGTTCTAGGACAGATAATCGAATAAAGGAGCTATTTAGGGTATTAATATTGATCGCTATAGTTTGTCAGTTTGACAATAGTAACATAACAATCATAATAGCTCGTTCTAAGGCACTTTGCCAAGATATACAGGTAAGTATGGGAGGCAGCACAATCGTACATATTGTTGTTAACGTTACACAACACAGATACTTGATATACTTTTTTGTAGTTTGTTCTACTTCCTTCTTATTGACATTGTATCAGTGCTTTTACGTACTGTATGTCACCAGACACCAGCTTGATATTAAAATTTGTATTCAACTTTCTTTAGTTTATCTTCTCAGTTCTCAATGAGTCATGTCAGTCAAAAAATATTTCTCAGGACCAAAATGGGGACCATGTTGTTGGGCTTCACATGATAATGGCACTTGAAGAGCTTTTTTACACTTACAAAGTCAACATTCACCTCTCTGGTCATTATCACAGGTCAAATTAGTTTCTCAAATTATGAGTCATTAATAATGAGTTATTATATTCTTAAACTTACTCATGATTTCTCGTTTCCAGGAGCAAAATGGGGACCATATTGTGGGGCTACACATGAAATTGGCGTTAGAGGAACTTTTCTATAATTACCAAGTTAACCTGCATATGGCGGGACATCTACACAGGTTTTTTAGTTCATATTGGCAGGATTCGAAGCTTTTTGACATTGTCGGCATTTTTAATTTGTTGTGGCAAAATTTTCAAAATACTTAAATGTAGCACGCAGTACATACTGTCAATTATTTATCTTTGTAAATTTTCACGTACGTGCTGAAACGCGCGCATTTTGATTTAACAAACGCAAATGTCACAACAAAAACAAACTCCATCCGATCCTTTTTAACATAGTTAAATTCTAGTTACGAGAGAACTTGCCCGGTGGTTGCTGGAGACTGTGTAGCCCCTGGTCATGGTACTGTTTACGTTATTAACGGAGCTGCTGGAAAGTTCCTTGATGCCCAAAACTACGATCAATATTCATGGTAATTACCCTTCAAATTGTGATTAATAAGCTAATTAGAATAATTATCTTCAGCTACGAGAGCACGTGCGCAGTGGTGAGTGGCGATTGTGTTAAGCCCGGAACTGGAACTGTTTATATAGTTGTGGGCACTTCTGGTCATTCTCTTGAACAGCAAGCTTACAGGCCGTATTCTTGGTGAGCGTCAGTTTGTCGCCAATCATGTGTTATTTGAATGCAATATTTACAGTACCCAAAAGTCAAATGATAATTTGTCGTCCTATTTTGATTATTAAAACCTAGTCAATTTAAAAGTTGATCGAAATTCGATTGTTGGCACTAAAATCCCTGATTTAAAGTGGTTTTTCAAATTATCGTCTATCAGTTTACGTGTCTATTTTATCACACTTCTACTTATCGCACACTCTCAAGTATTCTCTGTTTCAGGTCAAAGTATCATAACTGTGAAAAGTTCGGATACCAACGCATGACAGCTAATACAACTCACATGCATGTAGAATTCGTTACGGTAAGTCAAACTTAATTGAGCTTCTAAATATAATTTGCTGCTCAACAAATCCTGGTTCAAAACTTGAGACTTTATAATATGCCACTTTCCTGGACCTAACTATCAGCTCCACAGTCGTCTTTTTATAATTTAAACTAGTTAGCAAAGAAATGGGTCCTATCTTGATTCTTGCAGTATATACTGTAATAACTTCTGTATATCAGTTCATATCCAGGATATACCAATTGGTTAAATCTTAAGTACTCAAGTACGAACTCAAGTACGAACTCAAGTACGTACTCAAGTATGTACTCAAGTATGTACCGTTAAGTAAGGTTCGGAGTAGTAGACAAGCGATGTCAATATTATTCCACTTAGGCACCGAACCAAGAAGTGCTGGACAACATAACAATCCCAGTCTGGGACGAGAGTGCTACAAAACGGGAATTCAAGAGACGATGATAACGGACTTAGGACATCAGCAGTTTCGCCTTAAATCACCTTCATGTTTTGTTACGTTCTGCTAATTTCGTTGGCTGATATTTATTTTTATAGATTTTGTTTCTTGTAAATATTTACCCATTTTGTTATTCCTGGCCCTTCAGTCCGTACTTTTTCAGAATTGAAAACTAATTTTATTTAACTACCGTGACCGTGTTATGTTTAGGATAAAGAAAATTCTTCTTTAAGATGTAATCGTTAAATTGATACTGTTCGAAAATTCTGTCAGCAATACAGCGTATATGTGAGATTTATCGATCAATCTTTTTTAAAATTCAATACTGATTGCTAGCAGAATTTTCTTTTTATGACAAATCACAGAAATGATAAAACAAAAATAACAAATGTCAAGCTTTTTTGCGAACACTGAACATGGCGTGTATAATGTATTGATATGAAAAATACTGTTTTATATGATTCTAATTATTTGTAAGAAATGTGGTTATAACAATCAACTGTTTTCACTTAGTTCTGTAATCAATAAATTAATTAATCTGCAAAGTTTTAAAGATTTACAAAACGTATTTATAAAACGTCCTCAATAATAGATAAGTCGATCCGTCAAGTGATTTCAAACTAAAACAGTGGATAGCCTGCTCTGCTCTTCGTAGAATTCTGATATCTTATCGTACACCTGAAAAACATACTGATCACAATCATTGGCCTACATTTTAAAATTTAGGGCATTTATTTATAATTTGCAAGATAATTGATATCAAAACCTTGGGAGTCTGAAACGAGTTAAAACTTTCGTACTCCTTAATTTTCATTCCTACTCACTACTTACCTGGGGACCCCAGGCTGTTATGTTCATAAACATAATAAAGATTCGGCGGAATGACAGGCTGAGCGCCGCCCAGTAAACGCACTACATGCTATAAAAAGTATTTCATTGAAAGAGAAACCCTACCTCGCTAGATTCCACAGTGAAATCACATTGGAGGCAGAACTGAGAAAGTTGTAAGAAGTTCAGCAGACTCTTATCATCTACGTCACACAGTAATTCGTGTCTGTTTACAAGAAACGCTGAAAGATCAGATCCCCATTTCTTCACTTTTTCTGCCTGTAATTGATAATGAAGTTATTGATGGAAGAATCTTTAAATTATCGGAGTGTAAAGTGTAGGGGTTTGATTTATTATACTATAATCACATTTTGGAACATTTAACATTGTCAAGCATCAAGTTCTTCCTACCATTTCTTCTATCCTCTCGACCAAGGTTGAATCAAAGTAGAGTTCAGCTACTATCTGAAAATATGGAAATCGTGAAAGCTTCCTATTTAAATCTAATTCGTAGAGAAGAAAGCTGGTCATGGAACACCGACCAATTTGTCACAATTGTTTTCTATCGAAGCGCTCACGTACGCGCGATTGAAAAGCATGTGCTTTAAATCCGCGCTAAATAATCAAAATTATTAGGAAGAACTACTCCGCGTGTTCCATAACCACCACCATGTGTGTGACCGATTTTGTGGCAAAAATGATTAAAGTCTGATTATTTAAACAGCTCCAAATTGTGCAGCATACCATTCCAAGACCGTGAATATCTTCGATGTAATTAAATTCCAGATTATCACCACCACTGTGACCGAAATCTCCGATTTTGCATTGGTAGTGTCGATCGAGGAATATGTTCTGACTGAAAATAATATCCCACCATAATTATTAAAATTATGTTCAATCCAATGAGAAGGCGTGATGATAAATACTAAATAGGGCATAAAAACCATCAAAACAACGAGCCCGTTCATTTATCGAAAAAATTCAAAGCATGAAGCTGGGAGAAAGACCCAGGAATTTAATCTCTGTAAGCGAGGACCACATACCTTGAAATATTTAGGTGGGCAGTTTGGAATTTAGAGTGAAGTTCGAAGACAGCAGTAGCGATATCGTACACTATTTGCACTCGGGCCGCCCAATTCAACTTCGGTAATTTGTGCTGAATCAAATTAGTGTTTTCAACAGTGCGAAAACATGATAAAAGATATTTTAAAACATGATCTCTCTGTTTTTCTAGAAGAAGTACTTTCATCTGGATTAAGCTAGCATTCGTAGGAATGCGAGCAAAAGTGCAAAGACTTAATGGGACAACTAATTCAATTTGTCCAACTTATAGAGATAAGAAACCTAAAAGCGTTAAATTTTCACAAATTTGCATACAACAATATCATTCACTCATTGCAGTCATTGGTGATCTCGTTCTTTATCAAGACAAAATAACAGAATTACAGATAAAAGTGACGAAATGGGCCGATAAGAGCACGTACATTTGCTGCAATAAGTGAGTTGAGAGGTCCAAAGTTGATGTGCTCGTAGACCAACACCAGGTGTTTTGTATCGCAGCTGTATCGGAGAAGGTTGGATATCCCCTGGATAGGACAGTTCTTTCTCATCTCTATCTGGTGGATGAAAAACGCTTCGTTTCCTCGGAACTGAAGATGATAAATGTATTGTAAAGAAAAAATACGTTATTACTTCCAATTGGATTTCTGGGCGTCAGGTAGTTGGATTGTTTTAGTTTTTAGATTCTGAAATTATGTGAGATGAGACCTGTAGTAATACAGTGAACATCTTGATTCTTGAGATTGGAACAATGCCGTGACACAGCTGGTGTTTGAAAACAAAGAACCAAAATTAAGAACTTAATTCTTTTGTTCGCTCCTTAATATTAGCTATTTATAAAGCTTAATTATGTGTATGGTACTACACAGCACTGACCACTGACGAAACTCTTTGACATTAATTCTTCATTACGCTTAATAAGGTATTTCTTGCTATATTTTATTCTTGTATTTAACATCGACAATAAAAACTGCAATAATAAGCAATATCTCCTTTACTAGAACCCTATCATGCAAGCTTACTGCCTAGTGCTTACCAATTCTTTGTACATTTTGAGTACTTTTGAAGCTGGCTTGTAACACAGTATTATACATGTATAACCGAGAAGATAGTGTTTCGTCAAGGAATCAAGTATGCCCATATTTGGCTTGGTGATCGACTGTTCATATTGTAATCCAGTGTTACAAGCTCCTTGTAATGTGTGATGAGGCTATCTAACGTGTAAGAAATGCTACTGATGTGGCTATTCTGTGATTAAATACATTTTGTTGATTATAATGTTATGATTGCATAATTTATTGAAACTTTATTTTATTTCAGTATTATGTGATGGGATGGGAGGGTTTTGACCAGGTGTAGCCAGTCCACGCCCTGGCTCCATAATATAATGACTTTGTTTCACTTCTACATGAAAAGGTCGAATACATCCAACGTGTATGAAACGCGGAGAACTCGAATATGAGTCATATTATGTGACACTTAAGTTGTTATTGGCTTCCTTAATACATGAAGCCAGTACTTCTTATGCTACGTGTTATAATATAAAAGTGCCCACTCAAATAGTGCAAGTTTTGAGCAAACTGCAAGTTTTGATAAAACATAAAATAATAATTACATAGATTAGCTAATAAAGTAACGTACTAACTTCTTGATATAATATGTGATTTAATATGAATACTTTAAACTTGGAGTTTACGACGTTCGTGCTATTTTTAGATAAATATGCTGATTGTTGTGAGACGCTATTACTGTTGTTAGACACTTTCACTGCATCGCTGCCGTTCATTAATTCATTTTTAAATGTTCCACTCGCTTTTAAAGCGTAAAATCGATATACGATTTAAAACAGTTTTAAACCGGTTTATTTACTTTTCATGCGTTTCATTAATCTGAAAATATTCTAAAGCGCTTCATTAGCTTTTAAAACGATTTGTCTTCTTTAAATTTGGTCTATTTTTGTCTATTTAGTTTCATTCAGTCTATTAAAACAACCAAATCTCTTTGAGGACTAAACATATAGTGCCCAGTCTGGCGGTGTAAGACGAAGAATCTGTTTACCCTAATTAGTCATTAAGTAATTACCTTATTATCCCACAAAACTGACAGTGATTACGTCCCAATTATCCCATAATGACATGCGCATATATTATACACATAAACATGGCGAATTAAACAATAATGTTTACTACTCTTTGAAGTAAGCTTCCTGGTACTGCACATTCACATCACAGTTGACTGTGTATTACTGTGAAGGAGACACTAACAGAGGAGATTCAGTGTACGTACTCGGTTTTATACCAGCCACAAGGAGTGAAGTTACAAAAGTAGATAACATGTCTTTAAACTTTAGATAACATAATGTACAGTGAGCACCTCAGACATGATTTTAACTAAGGACATGACGGGTACCTTACCTGATATAATGTGTACAGAACAAGACATATTCAGTGAACCTGTTTACATACCAGCCCCAAAAAGGGGTCCAGACTCTACGGCGTAAGTCTCTATGGCGTGAGACTCTACGGCGGGTTAGCGTTAGGGTTAGGGTTATGGTTAGGGTTATTTTTAGGGTTATGGTTAGGGTTATGGTTAGGGTTAGGGTATGGGTTAGGGTTAGGGTTAGGGTTAGGATTAGGGTTAGGGTTAGAGTTAGAGTTAGGGTTAGGGTTAGGGTTAGGGTTAGGGTCAGGGTCAGGGTTAGGGTCAGGGTTAGGGTTAGGGTTAAAGTCTCACGCCGTAGAGTCTTACGCCGTAGAGTCTTACGCCGTAGAGTCCCGGACCCCTCAAAAAGCCACATAGTACAGTTAGAATACCGTCTTCACTTCGTAAAAACTAGATACCACCTGCGCTAAAAAGTAAATAACATGTTTGCGGTGTAATTGTGCCTTTAAATGCTAGATCTGGGCTGGCGGCATATTTCCTTAAAAACTAGATACCATGTGCGGCGGTAAGACGTGATTTTGATACAGAAGAACATTCCATCTGGCGACATGGAATCTAACTGATAAGTGTAAAGTGAGCAGACACCCGTAGATCAGAAGGAGGGTGTGGTGTTGTGTTGTTGTTATGTGTTGAAGTGTGGTGAAGTGAGGGAGCCCTACAAGTGGTCACATATCATTGATCTAGTAGCACTGTGCCACATTGTTGCCATAACAATACCGGCTCTTAGCTGGTAAATCAGTACTTTAAGATGACTCAACATTAATTGTTACTGTGGTTAAATTGCTGGCCCAGCAAAAGCGGGATGACAAGCCGGACAAGACCAGCAGTTTTGCTTGACAAACACCTAATTTTATGTAGTACGACAAAATCTAATAACTAATTGCAATGATGAATGAGACGGTGATAATTGAAAACTTGTCATCTTCCAACGGTTTATGTTGCATTAAGTTTACTATAAAATCTAGAGACATCAAATGGTAATGAGATATGATTTATTGTAGTAGAAAATAGGTAATTCCATCCCATTCCCCTTAGTAATAATTTACCAATACAAACTTATAAAAAAAGGAAGCTGCACATAAAAGCTCAGAGCCCTACCTTCTTGAGAACCTGAACCATGATCTTGCTGCCGTCCAGCTCTCCAGTAAACATGCAGCTGTGATCATTCTCGAGCACCAGAGACCCTCCCATCTCCACCGGGGTGGGTTCCAGTGCGTTGGTTGCCAGGAACACGTCGTCAAACATGATGTGATCTGGGGTCTTGGACAGCTTGCTGAGTTGGCTGTATGCTGTTGGTATCGCGAACAGGCCGAACTTCTCTGGGGAGGTTAGAAGGATTAGAAAAGTAGTTGTAAGTTGGGTGGCTGGAGTAAAGTTAAATTTGGAATTTGAATCAAGTTCCAGTGTTCTAATTATACAGTGCACACAGTACAATGATAATATCTTCTGAAGTTTAAAGCAAACGTTCCATAGAACACGTTCCCAGTTTCACGCTTATTTGTGTACTTTCAACACTTTTTTAGCTCACTGTCACAACAGTGTAACCGCAATGTTTTTATAGTAATAAACGTGGGAACAGCCGTTAATCGGCGCTAATGATGCTCTGTTTATGTTAACACGGCTGTGTGAACGTAATTATGAGAAATATTAAATAGGCTGTGATTAAAAACATGTTCACAGTAATGTAGTACACATTCATATGATGGAAGTGTGTACAAGCCAGTAAATTTGGGCTAATTTCCTGGGATTTTCTAAAATTCCGGTATTTTACATGTTACGGTAAATCGTAGTTCGATTGAAACCGTATTCATTTTATCCCAAACACATGTAATCCTAGTATATCGGAGCGATAAATCGGGGTATTCAGCACCTACAGTGATAGCCTTGTCTTATATATATTGTATTTTTAATCACAACGCTTCATGCCCATAGACATTGTAATAAAATCCCCAAATTATGTGTTATAATTATCAATTACGAGTCTCGAGCCTTCATTTAATTACTGACTCGGTCACGTGTCTAAATAAATAATAGGCACCACATTTAATTGCCATAGAAACGGTTATCTAATATTAATATTTAACATGCTACAATAAAACATAATTCACAACTACATATTAATCATATTATGTTAATACACTCTTTACTTATTTGTTTTAATTATATTACCATGTCAATATAATATGTATAATGTACATATTATAATGTTTGATATGTTTTAATATTATGACCACTCTCACACATATTATGTTTCAGTAAGCACAAGATTCTCACCGGAGAAAGAGACTCGTCTGAAGAAGACAGTAGCCTCGTGACGTCGCTCGTCCCACTCCCTCGTTAAATCCTTCATAAAATCATCGTCATTTGAGATCTTAACCGGACCGAACAGGCTGTGATCAACAGGGTCTGTTTCTTCGTAGTTGGTGGGCTGGCATTTTGTGGTGGTTGTCATGGCTACCCTGTGTCAAATAATGGGTGGTGAGGTGAATCGGGGAATGTTATTCAAATATATTAATCAATATTGTCTTACATAATATTATGGTGCGTGATGAAAACAGCAGATGTAGGAATATTAATAACTGTGGTTATATCGGGACAATAAGACGAATGACAGCCACAACAAGACATTCCAATCATTCCTATCAGTACAGAACATCCCCAGTGAACCTCCCAGACACACCGAACGTGTGCAATCAAGCAATATTGTCCAAATTATACTTTATTTCAACAGAAAAATCCAATTGGGCAACCAAAAATTGCAAAGACAAAGCGTAATCAAGCCAATGCCTAAAATGTTCGTCCGGGTTTTAAAAATACATATATAACGTAACACATATATAACGTAGCTAAGTTTGTTATACTTATGACATCTAAAAGTCGTGAACCAGAGAGATTTGGTTACAACAACATTTTTAACAAACACAAAAAACATAAGTTACATAACATTACCATCACCATACTTCATAAGAAACGATATTAACTATTAAGTTTTAAAATAAGCTATATTGTATAGCTCATGGTTTTAACTGAAACTCCACATAACGTTACATTATTCATAACAACAAGCTGGAGTCATGGGATGGATGACAACACAATAGCTAGTGTAGTATAAACGGGTGTACTCCCCACTGTGTAAACTTCTGTGATTTGTGTACACAACTCAAGAAACAAGTACACAACTTCTCTTAAGAAACACGTGCCTTGTTGGGAGGTTATTAAGTGCACTACACTAAATATCTTAGATCTCTGTCTCCCGTGCCCGGGTCTGAAAATTCTGACTAATTATCAATAATTATAATATAGAAATGTTGTTGTGCACATATTAGAACAAGTAGAGGCCGTTACATTATAACAACGTAACAACGTAACAGCGTAACAGCATAACAGCGTAACAGTGAAAGGTGTGGTGAAGGTGAGGGAGCCCTACAAAGTGGTCAACATATCATTGATCTAGTAGCACTGTGTCACACATGTTGCCATATCAATACCGGATCTTAGCTGGTAAATCAGATATTTAAGATGACTCAACATTAATTGTTACTGTGGTTAAAATGCTGGCCCAGCAATAGCGGGATGACAAGCCGGACAAGACCAGCAGTTTGCTTGACAAACACGCTAATTTTATGTAGTACGACAAAATTAATAATAAATTGCAAGTGATGAATTGAGACGGATGGATATTGAAAACTGGTCATCTTCCATCGTGTTTATGTTGCATTAAGTTTACTATAAAAATTAGGATACTTCGAATTGTATTGAGATATGATTTATTGTAGTTGAAAATAGGTAATTCCTTCCCATTCCCCTTAGTAATAATTACCAATAACAACTTATAAAAAAAGAAGCTGCACATAAACGTCAGAGCCCTACTTCTTGAGGATCCTGAACCATGATCTTGCTGCCGTCCAGCTCTACAGTAAACATGCAGCTGTGTTCATTCTCGAGCTCCAGAGACTCCCATCTCCACCGGGCGCGGGTGGGTTCCAGTGCGTTGTTGAGTTGCCAGGAAACACGTCGTTCAAACATGATTGATCTGGGGTCTTGGACAGCTTGCTGAGTTGGCTCTGTATGATGTGGTATCGCAAACAGGCCGAACTTCTCTGGGGAGGTTGAAGGGATTAGAAAAGTAGTTGTAAGTTGGGTGGCTGGAGTAAAGTTAAATTTGGGAATTTGGATCTAGTTCCGTGTTCTAATCATTACAGTTGCAACACAGTACAATGATAATTCTTCTGAAGTTTAAAGCAAACGTTCCATAGAACACGTTCAGTTTCACGCTTATTTGTGTACTTTCAACACTTTTTTAGCTCACTGTCACAAAAGTGTAACGCAATCACGCAATGTTTTGTATAGTAATTAAGTGGGAACAGCACGTTAAATCGGGCGATAATGATGCTCTGTTTATGTTAAAAACACGGCTGTGTGAAGGTAATTATGAGAAAATATTAAATAGGCTGTGATTAAAAACATGTTCACAGTAATGTAGTACACATTCATATGATGGAAGTGTGTACAAGCCAGTAAATTTGGGCTCTAATTTCCTGGGATTTTCTGAAATTCGGTATTTTACATGTTACGGTAAATCGTTAGGTTCGATTGAAACCGTATTCATTTGTATCCCAAACACATGTATCCTAGTTTATCGGAGCGATAAATCGGGGTATATCAGCTCCTACCAGTGATTAGACTGTCTTATATATATTGTATTTTTAATCAACAACGCTTCTGCCCATAGACATTGTAATAAAATCCCCAAATTATGTGTTATAATTAATCAATTACGAGTTCTCGAGCTTCATTTAATCAATGACTCTGGTCACGTGTCTAAATAATAATAGGCACCACATTTTAATTGCCAGAGAAAACGGTTATCTAATATTAATATTTTAACATGCTACAATAAAACATAATTCACAACTTACATATTAATCATTATTATGTTAATACAATCTTTAACTTTATTTGTTTTATTATATTACCATGTCATATAATATGTATAATGTAAATATTATAATGTTTGATATGTTTTAATATTTATGGGACCACTCTCACACATATTATGTTTCAGTAAGCACAAGTTCTCACCGAGAAAGATGACTGTCTGAAGAAGACAGTAGCTCGTGACGTCGCTCGTCCCACTTCCCTCGTTAAATCCTTCATAAAATCATCTTCATTTGAGATATTAACCGGACCGGACAGGCTAGTGATCAACAGGGTCTGTTTTCTTTCGAGTTGGTGGGCTGGCATGTGATGGTGGTTGTCATGGCTCCCTGTGTCAAATATTGGGTGGTGAGGGAATCGGGGGAATTGTTATTCAAATATATTAATCAATATTGTCTTACATAATATTATGGTGGGTGATGAAAACAGCAGATGTAGGACTATAATAACTGGGTTATATCGGGACTATAAGACGAAATGACAGCCACAACAAGGACATTCAATCATTCCTATCAGTACGACATCCCCAGTGAACCTCCCAGACACACCGACGTGTGCAATCAAGCAATATTGTCCAAAATTATACTTTATTTCAACAGAAATCCAATTGGGCAACCAAAAAATTGCAAAGACAAAAGCGTAATCAAGCCACTGCTAAAATGTTCGTACGGGTTTTAAAAATACATATATAACGTAACAACATATATAAACGTAGCTAAGTTTGTTATACTTATGACATCTAAAAGTCGTGAACAGAGAGATTTGGTTACAAAAACCATTTTTAACAAACACAAAAACATAAGTACATAACATTACCATCACTTACTTCATAAGAAAACGATATTAACTTATTAAGGTTTTAAAATAAGCTATATTGTATAGCTCATGGTTTTAATGAAACTCACATACGTTTACATTTTTTCATAACAACAAGCTGGAGTCATGGGATGGATGTCAACACAATAAGATGTGGTAGTATAAAACGGGTGTACTCCCCACTGTGTAAACTTCTGTGATTTGTGTACACAACTCAAGGATACAAGTACACTACTTCTCGTAAGAAACACGTTGCCTTGTTGGGAGGTTATTAAGTGCACTACACTTAAATATCTTAGATCTCTGTATCCCGTGCCGGGTCTGAAAATTCTGACTAATTATCAATAATTATATTATAGAAATGTTGTTGTGCACAATATGAGAACAAGTAGAGGCCGTTACTTATAACAACCGTTACAACGTATCAGCGTAACAGCATAACAGCGTAACAGCGTAACAATCGTAACAGTGTAACAATCGTAACAACGTAACAATCGTAACAGCATAACAATTGTTTTGCAACCGCACAACGAAGAAGGACGGCTCCGGAGCAGCTTTTCAGAGAAATAATCTTAAATAAAACTTCAAACACCACATCGTCGGCTTTATTTTATCAATTAAGTACTGTGATTCCGTTTCGCATTCTTTTTAAATTTCAACCCTTATTTAATGAAAAAAAAACGCTGAAGTGCAAAGTTTTAAACGGCCGAGGAGACTTAAAGCTTCTCAAAATTAGGATACTTAATTAACCCTTTAACAATTTGAAGTCAAAGGCAAAGGGTTTAAGAAAGATAAGACTACAGGGTCGGGATCAAAGATCGCAAGAGGTGAAACAAGATGAAATTTGATATTTTTTTTTATTTTTTTTAAATTTTTTTTTTTTTTTTTTTTTTTTATTTTTTTTTTTAAACAAATCAAATTAAGACAAATACGTGTTTTTGTGACAGAAGGATGCTAAAAGTTGATTTGATTTGTTAACTGTCTCTAATTAAATACCTTCAACACTACTTTTACTTTAAGAAATGATTTAAAGAATATAAATGTGTCAATCCGAAATATTTTAAAGTAAACTTTTCTAAAAGCTCCTCATTTTACTTGTCAATCACTGTGGAAACTATACAACTATAATACTCTGGTTTTGGAAATATGGATGATTACTGAGGTTAGAAGTGAGGATTGCATGACAAAATGTCGTCCTCTACAACAATACATTGCACGCAAGCTTATAAATCATGAGATTATAATTCATAAGATGGGGACTGAGAAAGCGGAGTGTATGAACAGCAATTGGGATCCAAATGATGAAACAGCTCCGGACGAATCTCAAGGAATGATGATGGATGTTGACTGGAGGGACAAGGAAGGGGAGGGCTAATGTGGGTAAATTAGTCTACACATCGCGTGGTAATTCCTATATCTGCAGTAAACTCAGGACTCGTTTTATCTTAACTCAGGGATCAATGGTATTGATAATGATAGAATAAAAGTTGCTGATCACACTGTGGACACTAACTGGGTGACCGTTATCTTTATGAAGGAGTAGCGTGACATCATGTGAAGTGTTTTCCTGCTTTCCTAACGATTCTGCGAAATTTATACAAAGTTTCGGAAAGTGGAGGTGCAGAGTATCCTGATTACCGTGAATAATCAGACATATTCAGACATACCGTCATTGTTATGTGTTGAATGCACGTTATTGTTATTATATAAACGTGATAAATCTCACCGAAAATTTGATAAGACGTTGATAAAAGGCCACTAAAGTATATAATATAATTGTACAGGCATGATGACAACATGATGACAACATGATGACGTTCCAAATGATAACCAGTGTTAAATGTTGTGAGAAAATATTATCGAATGATATCTAACACGTGAAATTGATTATGGTTTTAAGCTGAGCCGGCAGTTCTTTGAGTTGTTAAACAACTTATTTAAGTTTTTTAGTAGACCAATTTTACTGAGGCTGTAAATTTATTCAGAAATATTAACATAATAATGCTTTTATTTAGGAAATGAAACAATGGAAATAATATTTATTTTCAGTAAGATCAATGATCTAAGTAAACAACAGTTAAGCTAGCACCATCCGAATAACTCAAGTTGAACCCTTTTTATAAAACGCCGACAACATTTATATCTCTACAAAAATGTCCATGAAAATAAAATCATTAGCCAATTTCAGTTCAATGATCAGTTATCATGCCGGCATATTATACTAAGGACATAATATCCTTACATGAGGATTGAGGAGTAAAGTAGAAACAGTTAAACTGACTACAAGTGAATAACTCTGAAACATACAGCTTGTTAGATGAAGCTAACTTCAATAAAACGATTCAACGTACAACAATGTGCAATAATGACTTGTTACCTCATCCTTTTTCTACACATACATACATAAACGATATGGCCATCATCAATGGTTAAAATCTCTTGACAATGAGCTTCAGAAAGTATAGTAAAAAATGTGTGCATATTATTGATGAGCAGTGTTTTGTATGGAAAACTAACTCAATAAGTTCTGTAGATGACTTTGAATCAATTGAAATTTATGACAAATTTAAAAAATATATAAATTGACATGATATTAAATTATCAGTTGCTGAATTATCAGTTACAGAATTGAATGCTTCTAAATAAACCCAGTTATAAAAGGAGAAAACCGATATAGCCCTAATTTTGGTTACCCCTCTTTTATGTATTGAAAGAGGGGTAACCAAAACACGGTATTGTGCAGTAATACCACACCCGCAATAACATTGGGCCCTAGCAACAATTAATTAATCAATGAATCAAAACATATAATATTGTACTTATAGAAAATATAGAACTCTCAAGGCTCCTTCTCCGAGCTAATGACTCTAAAGTTCCTGATTACGTGAACTTTGTCCGGCTCTGCTGTCCTTTTATTGAGTAGCTGGACGACAACATTCTTGTAGGCTATTCTGTCTGCAGCTGATCTATCAGGAGTAATGTAAACAGAACTAAACCCCTCTACATGTCTTAATAACTTAGTCTTGCTCAAGATGGTACGAGCTTGATCTGAGCTTGACAAAGTGAATTTAACTGGTCTGACTCGTTCACTTGTGTCCTTTCCAACTCTATTACATCTCAAAATTTTTGGTTTTTCGTTGAGATGGTCCAACAAAATACCAGATACCTTAGCATCCAGGTTCTCATCAGTCTCTGGAATCCCAAAGATAATCAGACTTTTACTTCGATCTTCTTCTAGGGCAACCCTTTTCACTGCAGCTTGGATTTTCTTCGGTGCAAAGGCGTTTTTGCACGTGTTTTTCAACTGAGACGAAAAGGTCTTAATCTCTTTCTGAGCTGCACTTTTCACAGTTCCAATCTCGTCATCCTTCTTCAAAGCTAACTTCTCCTGCAGATCACTGATTTTTGCCATATCTTCTTCTTGCTTAGAGAGCAACTTCTCTTGTAGTTCTATGATCTTAGTCGCATCTTCTATTATTTCTTTCCTGAACACCCTGTTGTCGTCAGCTGTTTCTGTGGCAGATTGTAACAATGGACCACAATAATCGTTCAGCAAACAGCACACTGTCTCTAGCCATTCTGATAACTCCTCTCTAGGCACACTTCTCTGGTTCAGTTTGTCAAATTGCACATCATTGTTGTGTTCGGCACCGATGTTACTTCTGATGAAATCGGTTGCTCGCTTTTCCCATTCATTTACAATTGAAATAGATTACATGTTATAAATCGAAACTTATTACAATTCGTAAGCCATGAATGAGTGGGAAAAGCGAGCAACCGATTTCATTCTCGGTATCATTTTGCATTTGATAACGGTCATTCAAATTGATATCATTGCCTTTTGTTTGGGAAAGAGAGACACTGGCAGCGGTCCACTCTACCCATGATTATGGGCTTTGGTCAAATTATGTTATGCAAATATACAAATTATTAGAATTTGTAGGTTTCAATTACATTTTTGGGTTTTATAGCATTATGCACTGGCCAGTATTTGAGTAGAAATCTGGTATGGGCCCTTATATACAGTAGGCTCCTCAATATGCTGAAGAAACAGTGAGTGCACCATAAATCATTTTTTGCATCGATCATGATAAAAGGGGGTTTCACATGATATCAGCCCCTTTCAATTTACAAATTGTGGTAGCTGAAGCTATACGAACCTTGTTTAAAAAATTTTAACGGCGGGTGATACTTTAAAAAAAGTAAAATATTTATTTCAAGACTGTCGTCAACTCGGCGCACGTTTTGGTAGGATATAAACCTACAATTAAAAACTTTCTTTGAACGTCATATCCAATATCAGGGACTTTGATGCAAATGCTTTCGGTTCAAAATCGTTTTTAATTAAATCAAAGACTTAAATAAATTCGAGTTTTGACAAGGATGCGTCGACAGTTTTCCAAATATCCATGAAATTAAATCATATTTCATTTTGTTTAACGGGTAATACTCGTAAAATATGTGTTCCGAATATTATCTGCAATTGACCGTCGACGCGGACGAGTCCAACTCGGCGCGCGTCTTGGTAGGTTATAAACCTATACTTTAACCAATACAATAACATTTGTTAATAACAGCATAATCTGCTCGCAAAATTTTCATGTTAACGTAAACTTATATCCAAAGTACATCTTATCTGTGACATAACCATGGTGTCAGATTAACTACAGCGGTGCAGATGACTGTTCACTGTTGGCATGCGCGTTAAATCATGCTAAATGATAATATATGATAGTTAATATACTCCCCAAATTGCGCGCATTGCTGTAACTTCTTTCAAAGTTCATGAATGGAGATAAATTATTTTACAATGTATTCAGAGTTAATATATGTTGTCATACGTTGTATGACCCGCCGCGCACGAAGTGCGCGACGATAAAGGGGGTCATAGTCAATTTGCAAACAATAACAAACCAGAGGGAGAAAAAATTCTCCCTCCATAATAAGGCGCCGCGCCGTTTGTATTTGTATTGCATATTTTTGTGCATAGTGAAACGACCGTGGCATGGGGGTCGCAACGTGATACAAAATATATGCACTTAAACAAATCACTTGGAATACTTTTGAAAGAGAATAACAAACTCAAAAACGCTATTGACGTATTTCTCCATAAAAAGCACAATAGCGTGAGATGCTTTTGTCGAGGTGCCTCGAAAGTGATCTTAAACGATTCCCCATTCAATTTTTGTAGAAGAACGCCAATTTAGTGCATAACCAAAGAATTTAATATAATATAACGCGCGTCGCGTACGACGCGACGCGCACAAGCATGGACGCGCGATAATATCCACTGAAAATAGTCTTGCCGCCGACTCTAATTATTTATGTAGACCTGTCAGAATTGTGTTTGATTCATGCTCGGTCCATGTGCCACATTCCATGTATCGGGAAACCATCATGTCAACTGTCCATCTCATGAATAGTCAATAGGGTTACCATGACGGTTAATAGTCAATAGTCAATAGTCAATAGTCAATAGTCATAGGGTTATCAATAGGGTTATCATGACGGTATAACAAATTCATCTTTTCCGTACATTTTGAACTTCACCGATGGCAGATACTGTGATGAATGAACTATGAAGCAGGCAGCAATTAAATGTCATTATTTCCGTTATTTCAACAAATTTGTTGCTTAAAACGAAAGGATTTCTACGGAATATTCGGACTATCCAGCGTAAATCTGTTGGTTGAGACGTGCACAAAAAAATGTTCCACATTATGTTCCTTGTTACATGGTTCCAAACTTCTGGCGAACTGCCAGCAATGCATTGTACAAGCTAATCCCGTACTCACCGCTCTCTTTTGGGGAGCTATACAGTATACTACATGCAAGTTTTCAAGTTGGCTGGTTATTTGGAGGTTAGTGAGCAAAATACAGTGTTTTCGGGATAAGATTATATCACCTACATTTTAGGGAGAACTTCAGTAAGCTCATGACATACGTAATATACATAATGTTTTGAATTCGACATGGGTGAATTCTATAGAAATATAACACTTTACTAAATTATGATGGTGCCATGGTATTTTAAGCACTGATGCCAGCAGTTAATCGCCTGATTTGAAATGGAGGAGAACTGACTCATGCTATTGTAACGGCATACAAGTGCTAGTCACGTGGTCAAATGTATTCTGGGAGTCACCCACCTTTTAAGATAAGTAAAACGAAAGAGTTTGAAATACAGTTATTTTAATTTCTGCATAAAAATAGGAACTGTAATTATCAGATTATCTAAAAGTAGGTATGAAAAGTATAAGATTCTCTACAAAAATTATCAAACTGTTTAACTATGAACTGTGAAAAATAGCTGAATAGCAATAAATTAGTTCCAACCTTTTACTTAACATTAACTGTTTTGGTACTTGTATAAGACCTAGAATACACAGTATAACACTGGCTACAGATATTTGACACTTAATCATGTGATAAGAATCCTCAGCAAAAGCGCCTAACAATTTTAAGTTTCTACCGAATATCAGAACAGCAAAACGTACAAATCTAACAAAAATTTTCAGTATCTAGAACGATTTATTCCAGTTGCAGTGCAATCCCAAACTATTGCTTTATCGTCACCGATCGGCCACTCAACCGACTAAAAGGTCACAATAAGTTTTGGAATTTGCTCAGCTTACGACGCGACAAGGGGGATAATCTAAGTTTCAAAAAAATCATGTAATCATCAAAACTACTTATATCAAACAAATTTCTGAAAAACAAAAATAAATAATTTAGAAAACAAATCTTCTTCAAACGGATCATCAACAAAATTTACAAAATATCTCAAATATTAATCAAACACATTAGCAGAACTTCATCACAGATAGTTTAATACTATGCACCCTGGAGGATCTCCAATAACCTTTATCTATGATTTTATTATTGCTTATCAAAATGAGCAGTCCATTAATCCTTTACAAATAAACAAATCCCTAAAACCTCACCAACCCCAACGTAATCCTCAAAACACTAAAGTCTTATCGTCCTCTCTGTCTTCCTCTCCCCTTCTCTCACTATTCGTCTTCGTCAGTAGATCACCAATGAACTGGATCACGTCCTTTCTCTGCAGTATCTCCAGATGCGTAGCCAGGAATCCCGTCACCGTTTTGTAACTCTTCAGTCTCTTGAACTTCTTACAGAGCTCCAGGGAGCGGAGATTGACTGTTCCGTCCCCGTCTCCGTTTACTGTAATCGGCTGGGTGTCAGGGAACTCAGAGTCATCCCCGTACCTGACAGTAAGATAGTGTTACGTTTCAGAATAATATGATGGTGTAATGTGAATCGGGTTAAGAGCAGAAAATACAAGAAAACAAAAATTGTATTATACAGATAAAGTCTCAAAAAAACACGTTATATATATCACCTGAAATGGAGAGGAGTAGATTGATCCTTGCCGTGAATACAGTGAACATCCACCCCAATATCCTCCACAAACAGAGGTAGGTCCTTCACCAAGTCATACAGCTCGTCCCCTTTTGGGACTTTACTTTCCAAGAGTAGATCGTGGTAATCATGAGCAGTGTAGTTCCTGAAAGGAGGATTATTATTACCATCTGAAACGAGAATCACCACAGGTCAAAATCATAAAATAAGGTGCTTATATGTTCATAGTTGCAATGTTCTCAGGATGCCATTGGTTGTGGGACAGGGGGACAGTGGTTCAAGTTTTTAAGCAAATTACGAACTTAATGAAGTTAACTGTACTTTTCTATTAAAAGATACAACGTGCCAAATGTGGCAGCCACGAAGCCGCCTCGAGTACTTTAGACACCTAGCAGTGTCACTGCCCTCTGTTCACTACAATGCAGTGAACAGAGGTCGTAACGCTGCGATGAAGTCATGTGATTAAGTTATGAGAGAGTGTGAAGTTTTGTTATTAGATTTGTAATAAAAATGAAGATAAGAGAGTGCAGTGATGAACCCATGATCAAGCCTTGAAGGTACGAAATAGTGTGTATTATTTTGACATAAGACCGAGTATCCCGTATCCGTTGACACTTGACAATTTATTAATAGAATTTCGAAAGTCTCCGGCTTTAAGATTTCAAATCTAGTAATTTCAGGTATTTACTGAACGGTGCAGAACAAGGCGAAACTCAATCAGAAAGCACAGGTACATATTATATTATGAATGATTTTAAAGGCAGACCTGCCGTCAGCGTATAGAAGAGGAGTGTCCCCGAACAGGTCAGGTGACGGCATCAGCCAGAATACTGAGGGTGAAGTCCTCTCAAATTCTCTCATGGTCAGGGGATCAACAAATATCTGGGGCATTCCTTCTGTCTCTCCTGATAAGTTTTGGTTGGTTCTTCAAATAGTTGGTAATTTATTTAATCAATTTCTTGTATTATTAAGCCTTAATAGATATAAAAAGTTCAGAATTATGGAAGTTGTCATCTCGCACAAGACAAAATATCATGACCCAAATAGCGAGTGCCTTAATTGTAACTGGTAATCAGTACGTGACGTTAACACTTGCTCTAACTCTACAGCACCTGATATGATAGATCTGATAGCTTTGGAAGCTCCCCCGAACACGCCAGCTAATGACACGTAACCGTCTATAAACTTGTCCTTCCACGCCTGGGATAAAGTATGTGATAATAATAACATATTATCATCGTATTAAGTATTAACTCTATGAAAACTTGAAAATTGCGCATATCCTCCTCATCTTAGCACTGAAAATTGTCGTTATCGCCAATTCTGCATAGAAATGGTAAATTTTTCAAATCAGTGGCAACGAATCCTCGGAAGTGAAATAACACTTCCTTACTATACAATATAAACAATGTATCGTACAGTATACGTATAATCGTGCAACTTATATTTTCCTAAACTGAACCTTGATGTCTAGTGGCGGTATAGAGGAAATGAGGTGAATGATTTAAGTTTCACAGTTGACATAATTCAAACTTATAATAAAAATGTAAAATGTAATTCAATATTATTGTTGCAGCACATGTTGTGTAGTTGTCTGGCCCCATGATTCCCTTGCAATTAGAAAGGGCTTGGGTTATCAGAGTCAGAATTAAATAATTTTAATTCGTATTAATCAAAATTATTACAGTGAACCCTCTATATACCTGGTACCTCGATATACCGGGCGTCTTTTTTCTCCACAGTTTTAGTCAATCAGCCCTTGTTGTACGAGAAATTTGATTTATTAAAGGTCACATTACATTTAGTGGGTGATGTAAGTACATATATATCGAGCTGTTTCCATCACAATACTACAAAATACTACATAATATCCCTGACCTGGTCCCTAATGGGGTTTTTGAGAGGCTAACGGGGGATTGGGATCACGTGAGCCACTTTGGTCTCTATACCTTCTATACCAACTAGTTTTTCAATGATCTACGGCATCGGATGATTCGTAAGAGTTCATATCAGTAAAATTTTCCATTCAATTATATAACTGTTTTAACCAAATTAAATGCGAATTAAGTATGAAGCCATGGAATGTTATTAAGTTATCCAGTCATTCTCACAGTGATTCGTAACCATGGCAGGGGTCAGATTTTGGTCTCTAGAATCAACAGAGAATAATTAAGCAAACGGTTGAATGCGTAACAGAGTTGTCTTTGGTTTCATCATATTTGTTATTTGTACTTTCTACAGTTTAACTTTCCAAATCAAATTTCTTCGCTGTGTTTTTGACTTCTGCTGAAATGATTATCGAACTACGTTATGAATACTAGCAGGAACCCGTTTAACCCCAAAGTGGTGTCAAGGGACAGTTAAATATTTATATATCTTGCGATTTTGACAAAACTTTTTGTTGGGGACTAAAGTTCTTATTCCGTGGCCAATTTTGTATTTCTTCATACTGGTCAAAAGACTGATTCGTCGTATTTATACAATTACCTATTAGTATTACAATTATTGATTAACATCATTGCATAAAGCTTAGCAGGTCAACTCTTAATATATAAGATATATAATATATATATATAAGATTCGCAGTGTTCTAACCAATGAACCATTAACAACAATATGATCTAACTAAAACTTCACTTCAGAAATCAAGATGTCCGTTTCCCTCTCGACTGAGGATGTAGTGAACAGAGTGGCTGCTAAACCTTCCCTCAAATTCCTTTCAATTGTGGTTGGAATCATGTCCTTCCAGATAATGAAGGCTATGGTAGCGTACTTCCCCAACCTTGGTGGGTATATACCGTATGAAGAGTGGAGATGTGTTGTGGGGAGCATGACTTGTTACGAGAGAGTCAGCTTGTTCAAGATACAGGGTTAGTGTAAACTATTTAATTTTGCGCTATTTCGATCGTATTAAAATTAAAATTGATAGTTGAAAATCTTTGAACGTTCAAATTTACGAAATCTTAAAATCCTAAAAATTTACAGTTGAAAATATGGACGCATCGGTCTATTTCGTGCAAATATCAGGCGTATATGAACTATAAACTTAAAGGATAAGGTTGAATCTAGGGACTCAACATTAATGATGTACGGGTATATGCCTCACAGAATGGCTAGCCTCACAGAATGGCCAAATTTGTAAATGTTTTTGTAACTAATTTGTTGTATAAGACTGGTAGGTTTTGTGGATACCATATGAAACAAAAGTCTTCTGGCAACACTTCCTGTGGTGAAATCATTAACTAGGACCACATTTTCTGGCATAAATATTACTGTTTATGTAGAAATTTTGAGCACTGAAAATTTGTTTTCAAATTTTTGAACTAAGTTTGCATTTTGGTGAGAACTTCTGGCACCAGTATGACAGAAGATGTTCAAAGAATAGTATTCATCAAACAAAACGAACATTGTTCAATGTAGGAAGAAAAAAATGCTAAAATGGATACACGCCTCACAAAATGGCCAAAATATGCCTCACAAAATTTGTTTTCAAATTTTTGAACTAAGTTTGCATTTTGGTGAGAACTTCTGGCACCAGTATGACAGAAGATGTTTAAAGAATAGTATTCATCAAAAAAAAACGAACATTGTTCAATATAGGAAGAAAAAAACGCTAAAATGGCTACACACCTCACAAAATGGCCAAAATATGCCTCAAAAAATGGCCAAAATTTAAAACTCCTTTTATTGATGTAGACATGTTAGTTTTGATGGTCTAAAGTATTCACAAGCTATTTATCATACAATAACACCCCAGATGGAGTGTTTTTACAGCCGAATGAAGGTTATAAATCATGAAATCAGGGAATATGAACAAAATGGCCATTTTTGGTGTAGGAAATTATGCCCTTTTTATTCAGTTCTAAGAAATTTCACCTATATGGGGGTGTTAACAAGGCATATTTATACCAGCAGCATGCCTGAAACAAGAGCCAAAGGTTTTAGAAAAATAAAATTTTCTCGTTTTCATTTTTTTTGGCCATTTTGTGAGGCATTTTTTTTTGTTTGTGAAATAATTTTTCGCAGCTCAGTTTTTTCGTGAGTTTTAGGTTATTACCCCATTCCTTAATAGGTTTTCTAAGAACGTGTGGTGATAGAAATTTAAAAAGTATCTCCATCAACAAAATTATAGAAGTTCAGATTTGGCCATTCTGTGAGGCATGTTTTTTTGGAGGAAGATTTTCCGGCCAATTTTTCTCAAAGAAAAAATTGTTATGAGATTAAATCAACCCCCGGGAAGAAAAATATGAGTGTCAACTTAGCTTCTTATGAGATAAAAACTGGAATAAAGTGTGTTTTGTGATTTTGAGAGACCTTTCTTTTTTTTGGCCATTCTGTGAGGCATATACCCGTAATGACTTTTTTTTTCAGATTACAAAGCATGGCCAGATAATAAAATGGTTGAATTGGATGACCGTTGTATGATTACAGTATCCAACATTGATACCAAACAAGCTACACTACATCTTCACGGGCACTCTGGTAACGATATAGGATCGATTAACATTCAGAGAAAATCTGAGAATCTTGTTATCAGCATCTCCTCAAACTCTAGTTGTGATGATCAGAAAAAGGAACTGTGTGAGAAGGAGATAAAAGGTAAAATAATGGACCTCGACACTCTGGAGTGCACCTTACAGTTTGCAGGAACTAAAACCTCTGAAGATAGAACCACTTTGACCTGCAATGGTGTTAGGTTTGATCTGAAATCTGAGTTGGATGATGGAGAAGTCTACTCTCTGATAGATGCTGTACAAACTGTAAGGTTCATATCTGTTGAGGGGGAAGGAGAATATCAGCTTAACTGTCCTGGTACGTGTATTTTAGAACCAACAATTGAGACTATTTACTAGATCATGGTTTTCAGGTGTATATACGTATATTGGATAAGTCAAGTTCGATACTTAAAAATTAAATAATTATCAGCTGTTCATTCTTTACTCATTGACTTTCATATTAATTAACAAATTGTTCTGATCGCAGACCGTAAACAATACAACAAAAAGAACCTATGCGGCCCCAGCTCTGGTCTAAAAGAGCTGCTCTTAGACACCGATTTCCACTGGCACACGAAAGGTCGGTCATCGTTTGCGGTGGATTGGAATTTACATTGCGGCGGAGAGTTTCTCAGGTCACTGCTGGGATCGGTCTTCTTCGGAGGGGCCCTTCTTGGGACTTTTATAGGCGGGTAAGTTCACATTCAGTCGGTTGGAAAATTAAATTATTGAAGCCTTCACAAATAACATCTGTTTATTGCTGTCTTTCATCGTAAACACTATTCACCCAGACTGCAATTTTAAACACAGAGGAGCTAATTCAATTGGCCCATTCCCCCTCCACTAATTCTTCTTTTTCAGGAACTTGTTTGATATGATCGGTCGAAAGCTGGGGGCCTTGGTAGGCTACGGTATTGTTACAGTGTCAACCCTTATAGCTGCGTTCTCTCCTTCAATAGAATTCTTGTTTGTATGCCGCTTCTTTCAAGGTTACTACACTATACAGACTATATAGTTACAGTTTTGAAGGTTCCAAATTATTTTACCAAAATAAATGAAAACATTTTGGGTTGTATAACCCTCATTGCATCAATATAACAATAACACGAGAAGATCTTTAATTAGGTTAGATCTAATTGAAATTAACAGGAGCGGGTGTTTACATTGGATCAACAGGAGGTTTTGTATTATTGCTGGAGTACACAGCCTCTGAATACAGACTTCAAGCCAACGTTGGTGTTCAGTTGGCATTCGGAGTAGGGTATCTCGTCAACACTTTCTTTGCCTACTTAATCAAGGAGTAAGTTACATTTTATATCTTAAATAGTTAAATCTGGACAATCAGGTGCACCAGCAGCTCTGCAATCATCGTTGAGCTGGAGGGCCAGAAGATCTCATAAACAAAGATACTGACATAATATCAAGTATTTTCGTGCGTAACAACACAAGCTTGTTATTCCACTAAATAAACCTAACCTTATTAGGGGTCGTTCACATACTACGTTATCATTTTTTGGACAATTTTTAACCCCCCTCCGTAATCAGTTTTACACATAGCTATTGTGTCAAAATTACACTAGCGTAATCATATGAAAACCCCCTCCCTCCTCGGCTGATTACGTAATATGTGAACGACCCCTTATGTCTTTATGTATAATATCACAGTTGGCACTGGCTGGTAGCAGTTGATGGAATATTGTTTGTGCTGGCTGTTATTCCCCTGTTATTGATGCCGGATTCTCCGAGGTACTTCCTCGTCAATAAAAGTAAGTGGAAAAAAGCTTGAATATGTCCGAGTAGTTGATGGAGATTTATATAATATGTCTTTCAGAAGTTTTAACAAAAGATGTTTATAATGTTTATAACTCTTGTTTGATAGGAGACGAGGAAAAAGCAAAAGAGAGTCTCAAATGGTTGGCAAAGATCAATGGGAGTGATTTTGATATTGATACAGTCATATTAAACGACGTTGAGTTGACAGCCGAAAAGACCCAAGCACCAGAGCCAACATTTTTAGAGGCGATGAAAGATTTTATGAAGTACAAGTAGGTAACATTTTGTCTAAATCATATTAGTATGTAATTAAATTATCTTCCGGATCGATTTTTGCAACAAATAACAAAAGCAGCAAACTGCTTGCATTACACACGTGCCATTTTTATACTACTCTGTAACTGACAATAATTAATTCTGACCGCCCTTTACCTATCCTGATTCCTGTTTACCCCAATGAAAACACTAATGAGATCTCAATGATAAATGTTACCCTTGATAACCACCAGTTTTTTATCCTCTAATAACCAGAGACCTTCCAGAGAACTACTAGTCCAACTGGGGATACAGATGTGGTTGTGGCTGGTGGCAGGCTTCCTCTACTACGGCTTCAGCTTCAGCTGGTCAGAGTTGGGTAACAACATCTACATCAGTTACGTGTTCGCGGCTGTTGGAGAGATTATCGCATATTTGGGTATGGGATTCCCTTTTAGGTATTTGGGGAGGAGAATATCAATCATGATATATTACTTAGTCGGTAAGTGAACTCAACTGAGAGCAGTTTTAATTGTGATCATTCGGATCTTATTTTAAATCTTTTTTTTCAGTTCTCACTCATCCTTATTCCTTGAAGTTGATTTGATATGTAGAGTGCAGACCCACTATAAATCATGCCTGCAGTCAAAACTGGACTGCTTGTCTAATATAAACATATTATTTCAGCCAGTGGAACATTCCTGGTGGCCCTTATCCCCTTACAACTGAGTTCCTCCTTCTCATTAGAGCAGCTGAGCTGTCTGATTGGAAGTATGTTTGTAGCTGCCACCTTCTGTGGTATCTACTTGTACACCATGGAGCTTGCTCCAACTTCTCACAGAGGCAAGATGCTGGGTTACAGCTCCTTTGCTGCAAGGATAGGTAAGTTCTTGTAGAATAAATATTTGTTTAATTTAGAGATGCAATTGATATTCATATAATCTAGGCTTTCTGTCCATATTATCAAAGTGGCAGATATTCATAACAGTTTAATTCATGGTGACACTCTCCGTCAGGATCGTTCTGTGGTCCCCAAGCGTCCCTGTTGTTCTCCTGGAACAAGCCCGGAACTCTGATACTGTTCGCAGTACTAGCTGCATCAGCTGGACTGCTCTGTTACAGATTACCGGACACTAAGGATGTTCCTACTCCTAGCACTGCAGCCGAGGTGAGCATATTATTTTATCTGGTATTCATTATAACTCTTCCTATGATCAGATTTTTTTATACCCTATTTTTACACGGTGTCATCAATATGCATAACTTCAAGATAAAAATCCCATTCAAAGTTTAAATTCTGTTTTAGGTACAACGACGAAAAGATGAGAAAGATGGCAGGGTACAAGCTACTGTGGTAGAAAACAAATATGCTGCTGAACTGCCCTAATTGCAGTTTCAATTATCTGTCTCACGTGACGAGACTGTATTTAAGAAACTGTGTTATGTGGGGAAACTAACCGTTCACTAGATTTTACTATCAACAAGACTGTAGTAATGAAGCTTACAGGGTTAATTTACAGTCCATAACAATTGTGACTTGAATATAAACTAATCGATTGTTTGTTAAGTATGTATTGTTTCGATGTTTTGGTTGATTTCTCAGTATTTTTTTCTCGGCTAATACTGCCCTATCTACCTTAGCCTCAACTACTTGCCGTAACAACTTTCTTCTAAACTGGTAGTTTCACTGGAGAGCCTCTCAGTACTGGTGGGATTTATACCGCTCACTGGAGAGTCTCTCAGTACTGGTGGCATTTATACCGCTCACTGGAAAGCCTTTAAGTACTGGTGGCATTTATACCGCTCACTGGAGAGCCTCTCAGTACTGGTGGCATTTATACCGCTCACTGGAGAGCCTCTCAGTACTGGTGGGATTTATACCGCTCACTGGAGAGCCTCTCAGCTGTACTGGTGGGATTTATACCGCTCACTGGAGAGCCTCTCAGTACTGGTGGGATTTATACCGCTCACTGGAGAGCCTCTCAGTACTGGTGGGATTTATACCGCTCACTGGAGAGCCTCTCAGTACTGGTGGAATTTATACCGCTCACTGGAGAGCCTCTCAGCTGTACTGATGGGATTTATACCGCTCACTGGAGAGCCTCTCAGTACTGGTGGCGTAGATTTTTGATTTAGGCCTCCAACAAAATTTGGCGGCCAAATTCCAAAATTTTATTACAGAAATTCAGAATTTGGCCGCCACATTTTTTTTGAGGCCTAAATCAAAAATCTGTTCTTAAAATAAGGTCGAAATGCGATTTCGAGTCGATTCCGAAAATTTCATGCAAAAAATTATCAAAACTGATTGAGTTGTTACAATTTTAATGAGATCAATTCCGCGAATATTGCGAACCAAGATACGGGCAATTTAGTTCATTTTTTGTGGTTTTTTCGCCATAGTATCCACATTTAAACAGATATAAAGCTATAACTTACAAAGAATATGTAGTTTAGGCTTACCTTTCATATAAAGTAAGTTTCATTCAAAAATATTGATATTTGACCAATTTATGGGACGAAATCTACCAAATTTGGTGCGTATGCCCAAATATGGGCATATGGTTTTTGGCTCATAACTCAGTCATTTTTTGTCCAATCTTGATGAAATTGCATATACGAGTTCAGGAGACCACTAGCTACAAGTAGAGCACCATAAACCTGGGTTTTGGGTATGCTCAGGGTATTTGGCTAAATTGGGCCTAATTTGGACCAAATATGGGCGTGGCTGCCCTGCGCGCACCGTTTGGCGGTTGGGGTCCGGGACCCCCTCAAAAGTTCGGTCACTGGTCCTAGTTTGTTGCCCCCCCCCCCCCCTTAAGAAATGTTATCGAATACTATTACTATATATACTATTACTATATTACCCAGAGATCACCAACTCAGTTATTAAACAATTGCAATTAAAAATCATTCAAACGTTCGAAATTAAAGCGTCATAAAAGCATTAAATATATAGCTAATCCAAATGTTCTTGACCACCGTTATCAAAGGCTCATCAGAAAAATGGAAAGAATTGCTTGGAGCACCAACAATGCCACGGTCATAGAAGTTTCAGAGCTTTTTAAATCCCTCTGTACCTGATCAGAAACATTCTGTACCATATTTGGAGAAGTCTGTGCCAATGACACAAAGACCCCTCCTGGCAATGACTGACACACTAACGGGGTCCTGGAGCTTGAGCAATTTGTCGTGAATTCTTGGTCGTATATTCCTGGGGCTACCTTCACTCCAAACCCTTTGTTGCAAGTAACTGTGATGGTCTCTCCTGGTAGGAAAAATGGAACTTTCTCCCCATGCAAAATACTCCCTTCTGTCACAATGATCTCCTTGCAAGGGAAATTTTGAAGCTTTTCAAGATCGTTGCCAGTTATACTATCGATGGAGGACAATGATATTCTGTTCAGCCAGTTGAGGGAAGTACTGTCGGGTAGAATGAGAGGAAAAAAGGCCTCACGGCGTCTGAGTGACCATGCACCGTTCAGTTCTAGGCACATGAGAAGCTTCTGACTGAGGTCACTTCCATTCTCACTACCATTTGCACAAGCCTGTAAGAATACTGTACGGGATATCGAATGGGTTATGCTCCTATCTATCTGCACGGCTGAGAAGCACATGTTCCCTTGGTCCATCTTCACCTTCACCACGTCACACCCAAAATAACCTGACACACCCTCCTCAACCAGGATAACTTCCCACTGCTGCGCTGTCTCGCAGGCTGAACTCCAGTACAGCTGATATCCAAGGGAGGCGGATTGTTCGGTTTCCGTGAAGTTTACCTCCACACACCTGTATGAATCGCTCCTCTGGAAAACCGTGAAGGACTTTTCTGCGTTTAACCTATCCTGTTCGGTCATGTTTATCTCGGACAACTCTGAAAGTGGATCATCACAGTCTTTCAGCCTGAATATAAAATGGGATGCATTGTCAGTCTCGTAGATCAGGCTGCTCCCCTCTTCCCGGTACAAAGAGCACTCAGACGGCCGATCTAGGTTGAACGAGAACGTCTCACATTCGGCTTCATACTTGCAGTATTCCTGGCATTCGTTTGCGGGAGTAACATTAAACTGCAGGAACGGCTCCGACTTTATGACAACGTTGTGTGTGACACAGTTGTGGTTTCTCTTCAAAGTGTATACGACAGAGAGTAGGCTTATTATAGCTGTTGCAACGATTGCAAGTTTCTTGTACGACATTTAAGTTCACGAAAATAGTATTTAAAGTTTTAAAAATGGGGTTCTAAAATATTTATTGCAGTGCTAAAGTCTAAATATAGTTTGCAGGTGTCACGTGTGTTTGAGTCTTTCCACGTGACATGGTCCGCTCCATTTGTCATTGTTCACGATCAAACAGATTCTGAGCCTTCAAAGTTAGATAAAAAGATTTCAAACCGTGCATTATGTAAAGTAACGGGTATTATTCAAATTTGAAGACTTTGCACTACAAAGTTTGATAAAATGGTCTTAGCACAAGCATTATTGAAAATACCTTGTAGTATTTAAAATGATATAAAGGAAGCCCTTGACAGTGTGCCTGGCAACTTCCCAGGCGACATGGGGCAGTCCGGTCTATTGTTCAACAATCACATTATATATAATATAACTAGTAACTACTACACAGGGAAAAGATCTTGAAAAGGGTCACATATTTTGTTTTATTCAAAATATCATAAATATGACGTGTATGCCCAGCCATTTCAAAAAGGGCTTGGCTGAAATGACTGCAGGTTAGCACTTCACAGCTGATAACTAACCTGATCCTGCTTAGTAAGGAAGTTGACGATATAAGGATTACCCATACTGTGAGCCACCAACATAACCGGTGTGTTCCCGTTCAGTTCATACGTCTCTTCCACCAGGTATCTGAGTTTTATAAAGTACTCCTGTCCTACCTTTGTGTTGGGCGTGTATCTGAGAATGTGAACATTAACATTAGTGAGAAGTGTTAAGGTGGCCGGGGGGTCTTCATCAAAATTATCTCGAAATTGACTTGATAGTTGTTTCTGATAGAGGGGAATGACATCTATCAGTTGTTTTTGGTCTCATGGAAAAATATTGTTCCTAGCCGAAATTATCGCCTGTCAAAGGTCAACGCTTATGTGTAATTGTATTGCGTGAGCGATTTTCAATCACGCGTTCTGAAAATCGAGTCTAAAAATCTATCTCGTCCTACATTTCTAGAGCAATCACCCTCAAACGTTCAGGATATGTTCTAAGGATCATTTAGAAGATTTGACTCAAGCCCAATATTGAGATATGCCTCTTAAATTTTTTATTCGATTTTGAAAATCTTGGACCTCAAAAAGTCTTCAAAAAACAAGGTTCAAGATTTTCAAAATCGAATAAACAATTTTTAAAGGCCTATCTCAAAATTCGGTTCGACCGGCGATAATTTCGGCAAGGGGCAATATTTTACCATGGGATCAAAAGCAGCTGATAGATATCACTCCCCTCTATCAGAAACAACTATAAAGTCAATTTCGATAGAATTTTGAATTTTGGCTAAAGGACCAGTTAACTCAAAAAAAGTTATCCTCATATTTTGACAGATTGTGACATATAGCAAACTGACTAACTGATCAACGAGTCACAACTTTAGAGTTAGACAATAAAAATAACGCAATTAACCGGCATCTATTTATCTAAAATTAAGCTGTTAGTGTTCATGATCAACCTATGGCGACAATGTTTTACGTGAAATGTAAAAATCAGGAGTAATATAAAAAGTGTATTCTTAAACTAAAGTGCTAGCTCATAGCACTGTTTAGATTAACGTTTGTCGTTTAGCCATCTCAGAATCAATCGTGCCGTAATATATGGCTAAAGAATAATAGGGTCTTGAAAATTCTATAGTTGTTCAGTGGGTCGATTGACTGAACACGTTTGCACTTAATGGTATTTAATTTTACCAGTAGTTTATTCATGGTATGTACCGATGATAATACAATTAGGATGACAACTAGGTAAGTCAAACTCAAAACACACCGTACACTCCTATTAGTATTTGGTAGCCCGGGTATTTTTGGCGGGAATTCGGTTCCCACGGCACCGTTATGATAGGAGCTACTACTACTAGCTCCAATCGGAACGGCCATAAAACCCAGACTTCTTGTCTCCTGTACTGTCTGGCACGTGCTGATTAAAGTACAAAATTTCGCTACATGCTATAAATATATTTGCTCTCGGAACAAACTCTTTTAGGACAGCGGATCAGTCGACTGCTCGCATTCTTCCGAACAACTGTAATATTATATTACAACGTTACACTCTGATCAGTTATTTTTAATATATAGTACATTATTGAGCGAGTATAGTTGATCAAGTCAAAATTTGAAGTTTCACATAACCCTGACCCTTTTATCCGTTCATATATTATTACATATCACATACAGATCAAAGATTTAGGCCTTTATATAGACTTTGAAATTATAAGTAGCTAATAAACTTTTAACATTTTGAAAATGTCTTGGTTTTAGGAGTAGGAGTCTGAGTAATAAGGAAGATTACATTTACCAATGACTGATGACTTGGACATAAATTCCACTGAGCATGAAGTGCAACGTGACTCAAGCTCTGCAGAAGTAACTTCTGATTCAAGTAGTGAGGAGGAAAACGAGAACATTCCGGATGACTGTGGGGTGATCAACAATTCAACGTCCATCATGTACAGTTTGGCATTTGACCCCTATCGGCTAGATCTCAGTGACCATGATAGCGACCAAGAACTTTGTAAAGAGCAGGACTGTGACACAGATGAAGAGGACGATGACGTAGAAAATAGGTTGTGTGCTCCCGTTAGTGTTCACTCAAAAGATTGGTGTATTTGTGAGAAATGTGGAACACTAACTGAAGGGGAAGTTTCCTACTGTTGCACTGACGTTAGCGTTGTTCGAGACATGATGGAAACAGAAAATCAATGTATAACTGAACACAGCAAATTTTTCAATTTTATTTTAAATAGAGACGCATAAGAAATGGCCACATATGGTCACAAAATTATCCGGATAGAGATGACCAGGAGAGTTTCCACCAACTTTTACGCCATACAGCTTATAGATCCTTTCTAAATTTGTTAGAGTTTCATGGACTGGGGAAAAAGCAATAAGAAGCAAATATCCGAGCATTTCAAACAAGTACGTGGGTTTTAAAGAAAGCGAATTTTCATCTCAATCCAACTGTAATACGCTTCAACAATTCTAGTTTCTATGCATTTGTAATACTTACCCTACTTAGTGATCGTCAATGTCTATTTGTAGTTCAATTCACTTAGAAATTCACATATTATTATGATTTATTATTTATTCGAATAAAAGTTTCTACTTGAATCATATACTCGGCTGAAAACAACAACAACAACAAGGTGATAGCCAAAACTATAAGGATTTTGGAGAACTAGGGAAATAGTCATAATTCTAAAATTTGAGTGAGTTACAGGTGTTTTATTGACAATGATAAACATTTGCAATGTATTATGCTATGCAAGCGCGCGCTGAGGGACTTAGTGACGTCACGAGGCCACAGCTTATTAATGCAATAACACACGTTACACGTACGCTAGAGAGTTGGTTCTTTCGGCGATACGATTTTTTACGAGTCTGTCACAGCTGATTTAAATCTTAGCCAAATTGGAGACTACAAAAAATGTGAGTTAACTGGTCCTTTAATCAAACTTCAAACTCAGGTAATGTAACAGATAAAACATGGACTCAAGTCAAAGGTTTACTATGAAATTAAAATACAACGACTAATGAAAAGAAATATAGATATTCTATATATTCATCATAAACGATAATTAGGTATTACATATTAATTGCAATGATTAATTGTATTTTTATGGTGTTCAACACAATCAAAGGATCGAGGTAGTACGTACACAAGATTAGAACCTGAAATCATACGGAGCCCCCCTGATACTGATGCCACGTGTGTAACCTGGTAGTTTCTCTATACCAATTATCAGCTTCTCAAACTGGACTACGAACTGGTGCTGAGAGAATATCACGTGAGAGAAGAAAACTAGAACCACGTGATGTTTCGAAGCAGAACGTCTTCTTTCTGATCAACAAAAAACTAGGCCAGTTTCCTGGGAATCTGGGCAACACTAAATTTCAAGTATTATTTTTGTTATACAGTACTTACAGGTTATGTATGAACGATCATTCTTGAAAAACTGAGATCATAAATACCCGAGCTTTAATACATAATAATATGTATATTATTTATAGAACTTGTTACCTCGTCCAAATATCCTATGCCGTCAGTGTAACCAAAATCATTTACTTTTGTCTGCACGCCAGCCCTGTTTTTTATGTCACTCACGTCAGATATGTCTAACCGAAACGTGTCTGTCCAGCAACTTATCGTCTGAGAAATGATATTTATCGTCTAAGAAATGATAAATGAAATTAATAAAATGAGTAAAATCAACTATTCTCATACATACAGGAGGGAGCATGCAGTCGATACAAAGCCACAGAAGAGTCCAACCCCCACTGTCCTTGGTGCAGTAGTAATGTGGGGCACTGTCCTTCACATACCATCCATCTATCTGACTCCCACAAATACCTGTCATTTTGCAAATTAATGAATATTTTTTATGGGATAAAGTAAATAACAGAAAATCTCTGATAGTTTGTGCTTCTCTCCAGTAGCGTCCATCTTAGAGGGGGGGGGGGGGGCGCCAAATCGTCGTTTGAATGTAAGACAATTTTGAAAAACTTAACTACAGTACTAGCAAAACTGTGCATTTTGATCTAGAAACACATTTTTTAGAGATTTTGCCAGAGTATCCTCTAAAATCACCTTATTTGTCTAACTTAGGGAGGGGCGCCTAAAAGGGGAGGGGTGACCAATAGAGGGCCGCTTTTTCGGGAGGGGGGGGGGCGCCAACATGCAACATTACGCCACTGCTTCTCTCTGGCAATTTGATACACAAGAGTGCACATAATATTAAACTTTAAGACAATATGGTTCAAAAATCTGGTGTGGATTTTATGTAGCAAGTTGAGATGGTACTAGAGCAATGAAATATTAAATTTATATAAAATCACCTGGTACCAAGATTACAGGTGTAACAGTGTCGTTACCAGATTTTGGAAGGGATTCTGAGGGATTTAATAACAGACTAGTCACGAGGAACACTAAAAACATTCTCACCTAAGGGATATAAAAGTATAATGGGTGTGCAATGTGCATAAAATGGGGGTCATGCATAAATATAAACTCATACTCAGACTGTGAGATTATCTTACGATTTTACGTACTTACTTTTTAAGTACTGTCGACGTCTGTTATTCATAAAGTTTCAAATAATTACTAGCCTGAGTACATTCTCTTGAGTAAATACTCAAAATATGAACTAGTACTCAAATTGGTATTCATGAAGTTAATAAATGTTCAAAAGAAGTACTCAAAAAATAAGTATTCAAACCAATTATTTACAGAATGTACACACATATATATTTTGATCGATTTTAGTGAAAATATTTAATTTTTTCGGGAAATCAGACTGGTTGAAAGAGCCACAGAAAGGAGAAATGACAAAAGTAAACTTAATTGAATAATCCTCACTCAATAATCACTCAATCACAATATGATCCATGCACTCCAGTTCTGCTCTTCCAATTAAACAAATAATCAATTAAACAAATAATCAAAGTTTTAGCACATTTTACAGCATAAAATTTAAACAAATGAGAACATATAATGCTCTTAGTGGTAAATGGCCGTTTGTTCTGAGCTGTATGATTTTTTGACAATCAACTAGCGGGGCAAGGAATGTACTGGCTGGTAGCTTTTGTACACACCAGAACGCTAGTCTGGTTGATTAGTGACCAAATTAGAGGCGTTGATAGGAAGGCATTATAATTTGCGGGTGTAAGAGGGAATATTTGGCATGCATTATTCTAGCAGCTATTTTGTAACAAATGGTCTTTACGATTATTAAGGACGGTAAGTATTTTGGGTGTTCAATACTAAATCATGGCTAAATGTCTAAGAGGGGTTTAAATTTAAGGGAGAAAAAGAAATGAATATTGGGTTATAATATTAATCATAGATGTCAACCCTGATATAACTATTGTACTAAAAATTTGATCATAATGCTTAGGGTCTTTATTAGAATTCAAATTGGATACAAAAATACACTTACTCACTCACACATCACATTTAACTTGACAGAGGAATACGCTGGCAGAGTAAGTCGATTTGGTCATGAAATTTTGGAGGTCAGGTGGAATCCCTGCAGGAGCCTACGAAAATTTAAGGTTACATATATCAAAGTCTTTATTTGTCCAGTCATACACGGCATGACAATGCTGGTTGGAAAGTAGTGAAGATTTCGGTTTGGATTTCAGGCAAGAAATACTAACAGAACAATCAAAGATTTTAAGGTTAGGGGTTATTATATATACAGGGTGGGCCAAAAGTCAGTACCCAAACGTTGGCCTTTATAGCTCAGTCACTGAGTGCCCAATTTAAATACTTCTTTCTGGTATGACTTAGTACCACCACTGGTTCGAGGAATTTGTCAACTCGAAAAATATTCGCGTTCATTTTTTTCAAATGTAGGTTCATTTTCACATTTATTTGATAGTTTGGATAGTCGGATCAAGCTAAATGTTATTGAATTGTGTTTGGCCATTCGAATTACGTTTGTCCTGAAAGAATTAGAACTGTAGCTTCTCAGATGACCGAGATATGAAGCATAACGAGTTTATTCATTACGTGTGATCAGGTGATTGGTTTACCTAATCACATGATAAGGTGACCCCGTTAACTACCCCGTTAAACATAATGGGAATTGTTAGGGGTGCCCAATTAAGGTGTCGTGTCACGGTGTCACATAATCACCCAGTCAATTTTGTTAACGAGATACAGAAAATGCTTGATAACTTCGTCATTTCTAATCCGTTTTGCCTCATGTTTTCAGATCATATGCAACATTTGATAATCTACCGCCTCTTAAAAAATTAGGCGTTCAGCATGTTCAGAGAAAACAATATAGGTGTTTTAATATTAAATGGGCGTGGTCTAAAATATTCGAATTTTCAAACTTTGACGACGGAATCCTCGAACCAGTAAGTACAGTATGCCATCTGCAAAGCAGCAGCTCTCAAATATAAAACACGGCGGAGCTATTAAGGCCAACGTATGGGTACTGACTTTTGGCCCACCCTGTATATTAGGGGTTATTATATATTCCACAAACTGCTCAACAAACAATTATCACAAGATCAAGTTGATGGGTGTGAGACTGACATTGTCTCTAAGGAGTTCATGAGACTAAAATATCTACTCTCTGAGGACTTCTTAAAAGAAAGCCATTGAAATTTTAAATCATCGACAGATTTGGTTTGCATTACAGTGAAGCGTAAATCTACATGATTTACAGTGAAACAAATTTGTAATTGTAATAATGCCCTGATTTTAGAGAATACGCTGGTAAAATCTCAAAAAAGTGTGTTTCTAGAGCATAAACACTAACAGGGATTAGATTGAACAGCTGGAGGCACAAGTTGGTGTTACTGGGCGGCGCTCTGCCTGTCATTCCGCTGAATTTCTATGTTTATGAACATTATAGCCAGGGGTCCCCAGGTGAAAGTTGGTGGTGAACTGCAATTTAAAGTTGTATCGTGTGTACTGGTTCTAATATAAGTCAATGGAACAAAAAATTTTGACACAAGAGTGAAACAAATTTTTTAGTGAAACAAGAAATTTAATTTTTAGCACATTTTACAGAATAAAAAGATGTAAAACAATTCATAAAAATATAATGCTCATTTCGTGTATGAATTTTTGTCCTTGACTGTTAGTTTGATTTTGAAGGGACAGGTAACTAACGGGGCAAGGAATGTGCGTGCCTGAAAGATTTTGCACACACCGAAACACTAGTTCAGTTTATTTTTTAGAGACAAGGCTCATATTAGGATCAGAAGAAAATCGTTAGCAGATATTAGGGGTTCTGTTTATATTTGTTATTATGGGTTGCAGTCTTGTTGTGACAGAAAGTCTACACTATATAGTATGCTTAAGATTATATTGTGTAGTTTGAGGATATAAAATGGAACTTCAAGTTATTGGAGGGCTGGTGAAAAATTATGACTTTTGTATCAATGGTTATTATAAGCTATAAATATTGTAAACTACACAGTGCTAATTAAAAACTTCTTTATACTTCATTCTCAAATTAAATCTTAAAAGTTCAAAAACATACATTCATTTTATTGAAAACTTTCTCGCACATACTTTACTCACAGGAAGAGACTTGGAAACACTAGACTAGGGGGATTTCAAAATCTTTTACGGTCCAATCAAGCAGGGCGTGGCTATGCTGATTATTTGATAGTGCACGTTTAAGCTTTCTCCGCAAAGGAAAGAAAATTTTTTTAGGAAAGAAAATTTTTTATTTACCACAAAACAATCAATACATAATGTTATATTCATAAATAAATTCAAATTTCAATTTCAAACACATATACAGTACGCCGCGCACACAGTCACAATTTAAAATTGTTCAGAAATTCGTAGGTCAGCTGTAGGCGCCGCGCACATGATCTATTTAATTGTTATCTTACAATACATGTCAATACATATTTTACAATTACATGTCACATTTCTTAATTTCTAGAGCCAAAATTTCAGAAGCATACATACATGTTACCGCTCATGTATGTATGTAGTATATTATTTTGCTTCTGCAGTACCGCTCAGAAGCAAAATAATTTAAAATATATTTCTGTCGTTCACGCAGTACAGGCCGTGAACACTGCGACCTAAACACAGCCATTTTAAGTTTTGGGGTAATCATGTTAAAAATGTTGGTTGATCTTGTATTGTGGCTGTCAGGTGGGTCAGCGAGACAAATAAGTAGGAAGGGCTTCCTTGTTGAGCATGTGTAGCCTTCATGTAAGGATATTGGAGCACGAAATTTCATTAGCTTGTAGAACTCGAGGTTACTGGGCCGCGCTCGGGCTGTCATTCCGCCGAATCTGTCATAGCCTGAGGTCCCCAGGTATAGCTAGGATATAATTATGTTTGAATAGCGGTTTAGTTGTTAGTATGTTCTCTCGAAAAAATTGTACACAGTACAGTGGCGAGTTCACATAGCCATGTGCCTACGCGTACTGCGTGACGCGCTTGTTTCACAAGTAGGATTTTGCCGCCTACGGCGGTCGCGCGCTACTGCAAGCGAGAGGGCTCTGGTTAGAGCAAAGTGGCGAGTAACATTACCAGTAACATTTGGCGACGTTTGACTACAAGTACAAATGGCAGCGTTTGATCGAAAATCTGGTTTCAGCCCCCCCCCTGTGGTCAGGTACTAACCATGTCATGTCAAAGCAAAAACGTTGCATTTGGCACTGCGTAGCAATTGCAATGCATTATCTTCGAGATTTTTCTAAAAGAGCACTCAAAACTTGTCCGTCATACATTGTATGACCCGCCGCCCACGAGTGCGCGGCTCCCCCTTTATCATAGAAACACTAAAGTGGGGGTCACAACGTGATACAATTCTCATTGGAGGACTTCGCCGCTTCGACGCGCCGCGCGAACTAGCATTCTGTTACTTGGGGACCTCAGGCTTGCTCTAACCAGAGCCCTCTCGCTTGCAGTAGCGCGCGACCGCCGTAGGCGGCAAAAGAGGGCTCTATAGACAGCCACAAACTGGCACCACAAATCGTGGTGCCAGATTTCCTCCTATATTTCTGATGCCGCGCGCGACGTGTTAGTCATGTCTAGTTACTGCAACTGTTAGACTCGTGCATTGCATTTGCACATATATAATCAGTGCAATATTTTCTCGTTGGATAAGAGTTTTTGGAGGGAATTAATTTAATCTCTTTGTTCAATCATTTCATTTTACTGTTTCCTGATTCTTTGTTCGTTGCCATCATTCGGCAGCTGATCAGATCATTCGGCGGATGTTTCTTTGTTCGTTGCTTTTATTCGGCAGCTGATCAGATCATTCGGCGGATGATTCAAAGGGAGACAACTTTAAAGGTGTTTGAAGGTCAGCTGAAGGTCAGCTGAAGACGATTTACACAAATATTTTGAAAGCTCCTGCTAATTAAATCCTTGCGTATCACTTATATGTTTTTAATATCCCCTCTAGGTTTAAAGGTTTCTTTTGAATTGTCAGTAATCAGCAGACTTT